CTGACAGGATCAAGCCTGTTTGTGTCTAGCTGATCCCTGCACCCACAGACATGCTTCTGTGTTTCAGAAGAAACTGCAAGAAACTGCCAATAGTCTGCAAACTTTCCAGTTTTAGACAGCACAGCCACCTTTTATCTTGTCTAGACTGTGACATCATAAAAAAATACTGCTCGCATTCCTCTAGAGATCAAAACTCCACTCAGGTTCCCTAAGGTCTGTGAAAAAAATGACATTTTAAATTCAAATGTCCGATAACTGCAACAACAAAGTTGGCCCCGACCCAAGGCAAAAGCCCAGGTTGTCAAAAACAACCGCAAATTCATGCAGAGAGCCCGACTGGACCTGAAGACCTGTCATAAGCATTCATGCAAGTATGCAGACGTATACGCATACATTACACACACACATATATTATATCTGGCGTGTCACAGGGATAAATATTGATGCTGCCAGCTTGTTTTTAAGACATGCTGGATTAAGCTGGAGTGATGGCTGGCAGGGATTTCATTGTTCTTATGCACTGAAATACTTCAAGATGCTACATGTAGGATTTTGTCATTGTTTGATTAAAGATCGTTTCAGCTTGTTTTGAGAATGAGTGTCAAACGGCTCTTTATTCCATAAAGAACATAAAATATGTGTGTGTGTGTGTGTGTGTGTGTGAAAGGAAAAAGAAATGAATACAGGAAAGAAATGGAGGCTGGCTGGCAGTAGGTTTTTTGGGGGGCTTACTATGAGTTGGCTTCAGCAGCCAGTTCAAGAAGTGACCCATTGAGCCCAAACAGCATTCAGTCAAAGACGCCCTATTGTCGACCTATGAAACAATCTGGAAATAGTCGGCTTAAACAACCATTGTGATTTATGGCGCCGTAGTTGGAGGCCGTGCGATCTGTATATATAAAAAGCTCATTCATAGGTAAAAAAAAAACACAATGAACCTCATGCAAGACCCACTCGCTTCTACGACTGATTTACAAGAACTTGCGGCATTCACCAATTTTCTCTTATTTTGAATTTTCTCTTAGATACAAGCAATTTATGAGTGGTCCAGTCGTGTGCAATTGTCTGCTGTTATCCAAACACACATTTTTCACTCAAGGATTGTATTTTGCATTACTATAAAACAATTTTGAGTTACCTCTGTAGATTACACTTCATATTTACCTTGAATCATCCTCGGTGACTGTACAGTTCAAAATGTAATATAGTTCTAAATTTATCATAAAGCCTAACGATATCATCATTAATTTTAAATTGGCTATTGATTAGAGGGTTAGAGTTCTCTTCACATTAAGGTGTATGCAGTTTGCTGTCCAGGGGAACATCCTCTGTTGAAACGCCTGACAATGCAACATCACCTATTATTGCACGTATTCTTTCATCTATCTCCATGATGGAGACTTCCCCTTTGACCCCCTCCCATTGTGGTTATCGATTGTCTTGATTTTCATATCAAAGACCTCTTCTTGATTTCAGCAACAGTGTGACCCTCAGGTGACACGGCGTTAACAGCACCCTTTATTCTTTCTTCAGCAGGTCCTTTAATTTCACATCTGACCCGATGTTAAAAATGATAGACTTTCCTTTGTTGATCTCAGAGAACAGTAAAGTTCTTCTTTTTACTCTTTCATATCATTATGGCACACTTGTACGAGCCCATCATACGAAAGAATAAGTAAAGATTACGAACATATTCTTGCATGAGGCCCAATTATTCTTATTTCCAGGTGATTATACACATACCAATGAATATTATATTCCATTTCTGAGTATAAATCCTCCTAAATGTTACACACTGGACCTTTAAGCAAGTGTATATTGCCTGTTAAGAAGTGATGACTCTAATGCCTACCACTGTGCCAAATTTCTGTTTTGGTTGTGTGGTCTTATAAATGTTTATTTGATAAAACATAAGGATATTAGCTTTTCTTTTTCCAATTGCATTAAATTCTTAAGAATTAAAAGTTAATTGCTCTTTGAAAGGGTGTACTTATACATTATATCAGTGACATAAAATTGTAATATCATAATAATATTAATTATTGCAATTATTTCTGGGACAATATATTGTTAAACAAAAGTAGTTATCGTGAGATAACAATGAGACAATGAAATAGAATCCAGGAAGTCCAGTTTGAGTAACAATTGTGTATGGAGGCTTATCAGATACTTAAACATTTATAACACTACAAGACCAAATTTTACCACTCTAGAAAGCAGCAATCATTGTATCTTTAATTGCAACTTTGCAATTACTAAGTAGAATTACGCTGTTCACTGTTACAAGGTACAAAGTAGCTTTCCAGAAAAAGTTGAGCCAAGTTCAAGTTGATGGACAACCCTACATGTTTTTTTTTTTTTTTTTACCAGAGCCCTCTGTGTTGGCAACCCTGCTGCATCACCAAAGTACCCTCATTCACATGAATGAGGTGGCTGCATTTTTTCATTCAGTGCTGTTGTCTATCTGAACACAGTCCAGCAGTTCTCAAAACAACAGGTGTAGGCTCTCTCTCTGTCCAGCAGTGGCTCAACAAACTCTATTCTCCACCCCTTATATAATACACCTCATATGAGCCTAATACTAAACCTAAACACAGCCAACTGATCTCTTGAAATTACACCCAGGGTTGACATATTACATTATATTTCCAATGCATAGAGCTGTAAGTTTGTGTCTACTCAAACTTTTTAGAGATCTTTCTTACTTAATGTTGTTTCGTGTTATTATTAATGCACATTACTTTGAACCACACTTTTTTAGAAAGTATTTTACATCAGATTTGTTCCTATAATCTACCTACACAGCAGAAAAGAGTTATTGCTCTAATATATCACTAGAATTAATTGCCAAAATACTCAAATGCAAAGAAGCGACTGCAGTGATGAGCTTTTTTAAAGTTTCATTGAGTCGACTTTGGTACTTGTCACGTTCGATTGGCCACAGAATTTTAAAATAAGTCCTTCCTCCACCACTCAAAACAGCAGAGCGCTTCCCCGTCTTATGGGCTGGAACTCATGTCTTCAGGAAAAGCCTCATATCACCTTATCTTTTCAGAATCACATCTCAGCTCCCACATCAGCCTCCTCCATACACTCTAATTTGCTTTCTCTCCGAACAGCGACATACTGCTCCGGTTTGCTCTTATTATTATTCTCACGTCCTCACTCTTGAAGTAATTCTACTGTTGGGCTCATTGTGAGTCGCTCTGGATAAGAGCACCGGATAAACGCCTCAAATGTAAATGAAACTGTAAAAGAAAATCAAAAAGTCAAGCAAATTAGAAGTTAGCCATAATTGCCAAGCTGAGAGAAATAATACAAAATATGCTGCTACAAAACAGCTGACACAGCTGTGGGATGTGCCGCAGATGATCATTATTACAATTAATTTGACAATGATATATTTAGTAAGATTCCGTCTCTGCTTTTCTAACAAGCTGTGTTCACCAAGAGCATAATATACAGCTTTCTGTACATGATTTATCTGCATTTTGGACTTTTAGCTTTTGCCATTTTATGTCTACTTTATTCAACAACATAACATAGCCATATATTAACATTTAGCCATACATTAATATTTAAAGGATGGCATAGATGGATATACCCAGAGCAACTTAGAATGAGAGCAGATATAGATTTACATATTAATTCCTCCAGCTGCCTTGAGGCTCTGTTTTGATCCTCTATCGTCACATTTGGACAAAATAGGCATGATGTCAGTTTCATCCCTGACGGCAATATGGTGAATAATGCTCACACATGTAGCAGGCACCTCCTTCTATACCTCTGTGACACCCGCCGCCGTCTCGCCAACCCACACCTTCCCACCGCCGCCACCTCCACCATCTTTCTGGCACCCCATTGAGTTCAAACGATGAGGCCTATCTTCACTTGTCCACCTCACACACACTCCTTTCCTCTCCCAGGAGGATACACTGCATTAATTCATCCATGTCTTTGCAGCCTTCAGTCAAATTTTTTTTTTTTCTTACTCTCTTATGGGATTCAAGGACTTTCAGCAGAGGGATGCTCTGTTTACCTTGTACTCTCGTGTGGGATATTTCCATTTGAATGAATGTGTGTGGGTTGCAGTTAGGTTTTGATATCTCATCTTCAGACACATGTGTGAGTGTGTATTCCACAAGTTTCTCTACTCATACCCGATGCACCTGGATGGAATGTACAATGTACAGATTTAATTAAGCACTGTATGTGCGTGTTTTTGGTGTGTGTGTGTTACAAATGTTTTAAAGGTGCTGAGAATGTGTATTCATTTGTGCCAGAGGGTGTTTATGAGCACAGTGGGTAATGCATTCCTATCATCTTAGTTCAGTGAGGTGGTGCAAATCTTAAGTCTTGTTAAGCTAAACTTTAGGCTCTCTATACAAAAGCAGTCTCCCCCTTCAACCTTGCCTGAAGCACTGATAGGATGAAAAATGGATAGAGGCCCCAAAGGAAGGAGGGGGGAAGGTCCATCTGTGAGCTGCATTCAAGGACAACAGTGTTATCCATTTTGGAACAGTATGAAACAAGCCAGTGTTTTCAGAGGGGTTTGGAAATGCGGGCTTCTGGATGAACTGTGGATGCTACTGTTGTCTTGCCAAGCCAACTGTGATGTTGCAGATTAGATGCGAATCATTGACTCCTTGTTTGTATCAGCCCGACTCTTCTCATCCAGAGTGAGAGATAATGAACAAATGTGACTGATTGTTTCTGATCAGTGTTGTGGTGAATTACTGCAGCAGCAGGGATTGTCTTGCAGTGCTCTGGCACCCAGAAAAGCTGTGTTTAATGTGATAGTATGTTATTCAGCCCAGAGGTGCTATGGTTTGGCTATATCTATTTATCTCTGTTTTCATCTTGTTTTCTCTCTTCTCACCCTTTTTGTTCCCCCCGTAATGATTTTACTTTTATGTATTGCCTCTAACTTTCTCATTCTTTTTCATTGTCTTTTATCATTCTTTCAACTTTCATCTTCTCCTTTCTGTCCTCTCTAATAGAACCGATTCCACCTGCAGATGTCGGCCCGTGTGCCTCCATCAACCCTGGGCAGCCTCCTGTTGGCGGTCCTGCAGGGGAAAGAAGGGGACAGGGACAGAGGAAGCCGAGGGGAAGGCAGCTGGGGAGGAGCAGCTGTGATCTGCCCTGGGTGGGAGGAAGGGGGTGACGGGTTGCTGTCTCACCTTCAGGCCCACAGTGGTTCTACCTGGCATTTGTGGGATGTAATCAACCTGACCCGCATCTCCGGGGGCGGGGAGAGAAGAGGGGAGACCAGCGAGGAGAGAAGGGAGGATCAGAGGGAAGAGGAGGCTTTGAAGATCCTATCCACTCGTTTCCTGCGCTCCCCCTCTCCAATCTCCTCTGTTCTCCTCCTGGGTTCTGACCCCGAATGTGTCTCCTCCGTCCTGCGGGCCGCTCAGCGCCTCGCTCCATCACTTCCAGCACTGCAGTGGATCATGGGATATCCCTTGTCTCCAGATTCGCTCCACACTCTTGGAGGTCCCCTTGGACTGTTAGCCTACGGGGAGGTCGGCCGTAAGCCAATCAGCTTCTACATCCGTGATGCTTTGCAGTTGATAGCCCGTGCAGTCACTGCAGCCACACTGGTGAGGCCGGACTTGGCACTCATTCAAAACATGGTGAACTGTTACGACAAACCAAACCGACATGAGCTTCCCTCTTCAGGACAATATCTGACCAGGTATGATCACATATATTGTATATACACACTAATTAAAAGGGTCAGGGTTACCCAAATTACAAAGAAATATGTTGCCATTAATCTTTAGCAGTATCTAGCTATTCAAATAATTTTGGTTTTAAGTGAAATTAAATGTATGCTAAGAAACAAACAGTTTTATCATTTGTGTTCCTATGAGGTCAAAACTAGTTGAATTGTATTGAATTTGTTTTACGTAACAGTGCTCCCTCAAGGAAATGTGAATTTTTGGTACCAACTGACAATGTTAGCCATTGCTTGCACATCTGTGATTTAAGCCTTCCTTTTATTACATGACAAACCACACCCATGGAGTTTTGCAGTTGGGTGAATCTTCCTTTGTTTTGTAAATGTACATCTGCAAATTTCCATTCATATCTTATAATATTTCATTTGAAAGAGAACTGATTGTAATTATAATTATAACTATTCAAATTATCTATTAACTCCCCCTGCTCTTTCGTTCATTTCTACATGCGGATGTCTCTCATTTTTCTGTGACTCACTCTGTATTAAGTGTTTTACCAGAGTGATTGTGATTTGGGGTGCTTTAACTGGGCACTCTCTCTCATGCCTCTGGGCACATGGAGAGCTGTTTTCTCCCCAGTGTGTAACCGTCATCTCTCTCACAGCAGTAGGTTTTATGTTGTTTTACAGTTTCATGGTGAATATCAGTGCGCATATGATATACTGTGATGCGCTACGGCTTCGCCTGGCAACAATCACTGCTGCCATGATCACTGCAACGTCTGGAACATGAATGTGACAACCCTTATAAATGCACTTCAGTTACCACCAGCTTTCTAAACTGTGTGGCTAATTGCACCGGTGTTTGTTTTTTATAATGAGGCTCATTTACATGGAAGGGGGGCAGTTTTGCACCAAATGTATGCATATTACCTCATTTAAATACATGCAAAAAGTATCAGAGTGCCGTGACACTGTTTGTTTGTCAGTGCAGTTAGAGATGCATTCCTCCCTTTGAGGTGGCTTTGTGAATTAGATTGCTTGTCTTGATGCCCGATGACCCAGCAGGGGAAACGGTGGTGCCTTGAACACCCTGTTGTGTACTCAAGAGCATTTCACTGTACTGCCTTTTTAATACAGCAGTGTTTATATACACATTGCTGCTGATTGGGGCTTTGACACACCCACCAAAAGAGATAAAAAAGTATCTTAAAGTCGGTTGTACACGGTTGCACACCAAGGAAACATGTCGTCCAACTCTGAAATAGTAGTAAAGCGGTGCACACGGTTTTCATATTAAACGCACCCCAGGTGTTGTTGATGATAGCAAGCTAAACTAACTAACTTTCACTTTCTGAGCAGCTGACTAGCTGCCACTCAGAGCTAGCTTGAGATACCTGCCTTCAAGATGTCTACCTCCACAACACTACAATGGAAGTGAATATTGAAAATGTACATTTAAATTCAGAGACATCTTTTTCCAGTAGTGTCCCAATTACCCCTGGATAATCCACAAACCTTACTGTCAGCACTTTTAGCATGGACTTTTTCTTTCATAGAACATAGTTTTAAAATGTCTTTGTGTAATTTACGACAAATTATGACAGAACAATATTAATTTTGTGGCGCTCCGCTAAAGGTCAGGAGTCCAAAGTAATGCCCTGTGGCTGGCAGAGATTTGTTCAAGAAAACTTCAGCAGAGTCGACGATAGAGAAAACTTATACCTCTTCCAAAAATGAAATGTATTGCTTTAGGGGACATAGAAGTAGTAGTCTGGTCAGGGCGGAACCTCAAATAATGTCTACAAATGCAGCCAATGGGCCAACTAGTTTTTTTTTAATGACTCTTGGTCACTTACAAATTCTTAGCCAAGGTCCCAAAAGTGCAGACATTTAAATCACAAATGATATATGGAGAGACTGACAAACTGCAATTAAATTCCTCTGACCACACCACTAAATGTCTGTAAGCTTGTTAGCTTTGTGAATGACACTTTGGCATTTTTCTGAGGTGTTGCTGGCTCCACTAGTGGTACTGTACGCTCCGGTTGCTGCCCTTGTCTGTCCTCTGCACCACGGGGGTGGCGCCTTCTGAATCGCGCTGTCATACTGGGGGTGGGGAGGAGGTCTTTATGGCATACAGATTCACAGACTGACACCAGAGAGTTTTGTCTGTTTCTCTTTTGTTGCTGCTGCTTCAATCCCTGCAGCTTTTAAAAGGACCTCTGACAGCTTTCACAAGCTCTGTCAAGGTGCGGTTTGTGATAAAAAAATACACACACAGAAGAAAAGCATATTGAAATACATATTAAACCATAAAAGCTTTCACTGAAAGCAGAAAAAGCGAAATTCTCACGTTTGTACACAGCAAAAAAGCCCTCATACTCACATACATTACAACCCCTCTTAAGCCATATCTGGCTGATACTGACTGATGCACTGAAGCTCCATGCCATAAACTCACTCCAACGTTAAATATCTCTATAGTGCGATGGATAAAACAGCATGTATCCAAGTTCCGTGGTCATGTTGTACTGATGAGAGAAGGATTTGTAGTTTGAGCTTGGCCCACAGCAAATATTGAACACACACGGTGCCTGCCAGCTGAGAGTGATCATCAACACCACCCACATAATCACAAGCTGGATTCTCACAATGTTCCCTCCCTTTGCAGTTTAGTTGAGCCTTGGGATGCCAGAACAATTTGGCATAGAGGGCCAGAGGCTAAAACAAGTGGAGTGGATGTTGGGTAACAAAGCAATATTATTGGACATTCATTAAGAGTGAAAATGTAAAACGTAAAAAGTTTTTTATGTTTAATGTGATTAAATTGCTCATTTTTGGCCACGTTAGCAGGGCAGCTCTGTGGATAGCACTGTCTGTTCATCCAGCACTGTCTGTCCATCCAGCACTGAAATGTTTCATTTAAGTTGTACAGAGCCTAGTATTTGGTAATCACACAATTTTGATGATAAAAGCTACAGAGCTTTGACTGTGGCTGTACATTCTTAGTCTTGTCATACTTTGAACAATAAAGAAAACAATAAAAAATGCTTTTAAACTTACTCAAACTTCATCAGAACACCAGAGAAAGTCACAATCTTTCTGAGGAGGACCAATTAGGACATAGTCTAGACTATCAGAATAGGCTATTTATAATACAGACCTCCACAATATAGTGTCAGTGACCTTTGTTCCTGGCCTGTGAGAGGCTGATAAAAGAGGCTGTTCTATCGCACAATTCAGAGCTGTCCAGGTAGACTCCATGCCCTCCAGTGTACTCCCTGATTCTTATCACTCCCCTGCAACAGCTAGACATGCCATTGCTCCAGAGAGCCCTCACAAAGCTGAGAAGTGAGAGACTTCCACATGGAAAAGGCAATTAACAGCTCAATGCCCAAGGGACAGAGCAAGGAAGGCAGGGAGGGAGAGAGGATGTCTGGAGATATAAGCAACAGCGAAAGGTATGAGGGAGGACAGAAGCAAAAACTGCACAACATTACTGTTTCTGATTCAAAGCAGTGGAACAATGAGTAAAAAGCCAGAGTAAAGATATGACAAACTAGCCAGTTTTGATGTAGTTCTTCCGAATGTCCAGAATCAAAAAACCCCTGGGTGTTTATTCCCAAAAATACATTGGAGAGAATAGAGAAAGTGGTCAAAGACAAACAGATAGATGAAAGACAGGGGAAGTAGGAAACTGCTAAAGGAAAACAGAAATAAACTCAAAGGAAAGGAAGATACTTGTATGGGAAGGGATGTGAGGAAGAGAAAAAATGAAAGAAGGGAGGAAAATTGATAGAGCATTGTTGTTATCAGAGTGAGATCTGCCAGTCAGTGGCATCTCACTCGACACAACTGCCACACTGATTCCATCTCCCCTGAAGAGATTAAAACCACTGAAACAAGCAAACCTCGTATCATCCCAGACAGACAAAGACAGAGGGAGTAAACTTTCCTCCAAACTAAAGGAGATGGAGGGATAAGGGAGTGAGACACATGCCTGAGACTCTCTCATAGACTCATCATTTACCGGCCACTCTGCTGACATTTACTCTGAAAGTGTAAACCGGGGCCAGGTGTTAGTGAGAGAAAGCCATCCCTCTCTGACACCACTGGCTGACTTATCAACCTCCTTTGACATCCACAGTCATTCTTTAAACGCAGTCTCTGGCCGACTGCAACACAACAACCCGCAGAACCCATAACTAAAAGGTGACGCTGCTTGAAAGCGCATCGTACTTTTCACACCTCTGCTCCTATGTCTGTATAATCACGCACTCCTATCTCGTGTTTTTTTATCTCTGGGCATGAATCCAAAAACGTCACATACTGCGTAAAAGGGGGCTTCACACCTCTTTGCTCAGATAAGAGATGTAAAGTGAAGGCTATGGTTAATTTTTTTGTGGCCAGCCCTAGCAAGTACTGTATAGTATATGAGTCTGGAGTGGGCTGGCTTGATGAATCTGCTGTCTATGGGATATGATGATTCAGCCGCACTATTACCATGAGTGATTTCAGCTCAAGGCAAGGCTAGCACTTCCACTTTATGGCCACAGAGACAGAGGGAGCTACTGATGAGGAAACATAAGTTAATGTGGAATGGGATGGGAATGACTTTCAAATCAGAGGCATTTTTAATCAGGCTCTTGAGAATTATGGTGGCAGGACTGGGTTTATAAATTGATATTGCGCTGCTGAAGTAAATTACAATGTGAAGAAAGAGGGCTACGAACAAAAGCACAAGCAGATTGCACAAAAGCTTACATAGATTCACATGTATCCTTCCCTGTGTTGTGCTGTCGGGCTTTAGTCCATGCTAGACTTGGAGGTGAGGTTAATGACCCTCATGATGAATTTAGTCTTTTCATTTTACTTCGCATATCCCATCTCCAGCAGCAGTTACATTATATGCTCATCAATTCAACATATAAGTCGGAGATGAGATTGAGAAAAAGAAAAGAGAGAATAAAACAAAGAGCAAAAGGGAAAATCTATTTTTCCTCTCAGAGAAAGGGCTACGGCTTTACCAACCTTTTCCATTAACAGGAAGAAAAACTTGCCATTTCTATCCTTGACCCAGACATAATCAACAGTCACTGCACGGTTCAACACCCATACCGAATGCAGTGATCCTTGCATACTTTAACATTTGAACAACCACTCCTACGATTTTCCATGACCTCCTGACAATCTCCCACTAATCAAGACATGATCAAACAGTACTTGTATGGCTTCACATTGAGACATCACCTGATGATGTCCACATGATCAAATGCAAAGACATAAGCTAACAACCCCTGCATGGTTCAAGAGGCCAGGGCAGATTTATGTGCGAACAGGGATTGCTCTTCCTAATGTATTCCGCCGTAAAGACCAATGTGGGGCCACCAGGCGAGTGAGACGAATAGCAATGACTGTCTGTATGGACCAGCAGATAGGAGGAGACCCACACAGCACTGCATTAACTTTTAATTATGATTTTCTGGGCGATGCAATTATCCATCTGAGAACAGACTTGCAAAAGCTCCACAACCAGACCATGCCTGTCTGCACCATCATTTGTAACTTTTTTCTTGCTTTTTCTTTTCTTTTTTTCTTCATCTGGCTAGTTAATGTTTTGTATTACCATGGCAACATTTCTGAAATGCAATAACCAAGCATGGATCTCGCATTTCTTTGCTTTATGCTGTCTTTCGCTTATGTTTATTATTGTCTCTCTCTTTCTCCTGAGGTTTCTCTCAAACACTTCCTTCACCGGGGCCACAGGCCTAATCCAGGTGGATGCTGGCCTCTCTCGGGTCTTATCCTCCCAGCTGTTCCACGTATGGAGCCTGAAGAGGGGTGCTCTTGGCCAGCCGGCCTGGGTGACTGTAGGCCAGTGGACCCGAGGCAGGCTGGAGTTAGAAGGGGGGATCCTAGGACTGGTGGGAGGGTTCAGGAGCAGCCAGGGACAAGGACTTGGAGCTGGGGTGAGGGGAGGGGACGGCCAGGGTGACAATAACGCTGGAGGACGCTGGAGGCCAGGACTTTCTGTTGAGGGACACCGCCTCAGGGTGGTGACACTGGTGGAACACCCATTTGTCTTCACACGGGAGGTGGATGAGGATGGCTTGTGCCCAGCTGGTCAGCTCTGTCTGGACCCCAGAACCAACCGGTCCGACCTAATCCAGGCCCTCTTCAACCAGCTGCACAATCCAAACAGTACAGCTACAGAATGGGAGGGCAGCGGTGAGTTTTGTTTTTGCATTTGTACAATACTGTACAATACTGTGGTGGTCAACTTCTGGTATGCCATAGAACTCCTGACCTGTGGGAGGATATGCATGAGTTTTATTTTTGATTCATGGAAACTTGAAGCTTCTCTTACGTAAACTCTCAGATCACTTGGCTTAGATCTCATTGCTTTGTCACTGGCTACATCTCCACTGCTCCTCTTAAAGATTGAAGTGGATTTTAGAAGTAAAATCAATAAGGGATCATGGCTGGTCAGTCCAGTTCAAATATATACCTGGAGCAATGTCAAGGGCTCAGCCGTATAGCTACACCTCCGTTTCATGAATGAAGAGGATTAAAGGTGTTAAATCAATAATGGATCAAGACCATCACGTCAAATAAATACAGATATATCTCTGACTAAGGAAACTATTGACAAACTACACACAACCTACTGTATGGCATGAAATAATAATAAATAAGGCATCCAAACTTTCTTGGATTTCATTTAGGAGATGGCTGATGGAACTAATAGGAATTGATATTTGGATGGAATTGAGGGAAGTAAACAATGTATTTTATTATTGTACGCAGTTTCAAGAGATATATACCTAATTGTAAAATACATGGCAGTGGTATCCCCTTTAAGATATAGCATTTATTAAACATCTGATCACAAAATTGCATATTCTGCTTAGTGCAGAGATTTGTGCCAAGTTTCAAGAGCAATTGGCATAGTGTTTAATTTTGATTAACTGAGTTTGCAAAAAAGGTTTGCCAGAAAAATCTAAATGGCAAAAATGGCAGAAAGTGTAAAAATGTATATTATAGGGTGTCTATCTTGCCAACAGTTCTTTTTTCCTATACCTTGTTTAATGGTTGTTACATTTTTCCAGCTCAAGTTAAATGTGATTATACATATTCCTAGCCTAAGTGCAGGGGTCATTAAAATAACTGTACTCAAGTGTCCTGTGAGGCTCCGTGAACACTTTCTATGATCCGTGGTAAACAGTTTTGGACAATCCCCACAAGTGCAACCCCTGCACTTCCAAAGCATGCATATGAATACTCACATAATCATGAATTTCACATCATCATCGCTTCTTTCCTGTCAGACCTACCAGAGGACCTGAGGAAGTGCTGCTACGGGTACTGCATTGACTTTTTGGAGAAACTGGCAGAGGACATGGGCTTTACCTTTGACCTTTACATTGTGGGAGACGGGAAGTACGGAGCACTGAGCGGGACAGGACGCTGGACAGGTCTGGTCGGGGACCTGCTGAGCGGAACCGCTGACATGGCTGTCACCTCTTTCTCCATCAACTCTGCCAGGAGCAGAGTCATCGATTTCACCTCGCCCTTCTACTCCACCAGCCTGGGCATTCTGGTACAACTGCTTGTTGAAGTTTTGAGTTTCCATTTTTATGATCGTAGAAGACACAGGGCATGTCCCGAAAACATACTGCATTTTGAGTCAGTGGCAGCATCTTATTTGTCGTCGTATTTAGTGTTACTTTGATTAGTCACTATTTCTCTCTGTGGCTTTTTCAGTATGATTTGACGATATGGTCTGCAAATACTTAATTACGCCCTTATGCCATGCTCACCCGGTCTTCTGGGGAGGAACAGGAGATCATTAGTTGCGTATAATTAGTTTGCTGAGTTTTTAGGGAACATGTTAATTATGAAAGTTCAAAATGAACGACATTTTAAGAGTGTATAATGAGTCTGAGAGGCATTTTGAGAAACTGTCTTAGCAGAGTCCTCAAACATGCTGTTCTTTGATTTGTTAACATCTCCCTCTGTGCCTGACAAACTGCACTGCATAATATGATCTGACAATACAATTTGAAAATGAAAACTCTATTATTTGAAGAAGTTATTTTTTGCCCTTACAAAATGATGAGTAGCACAAAATAAAAACAATGCATGCATTTTTTAAGAACTAATTATGCCTAGGAGTGTTTAAAAGAAGTCTACTGACAAGATCCCACAAACTGCAGGTTTAATTATAATCACAATTTTGCACAAAATACAATACATGTAACTCTTGCAGAGAGAAATCAACTACATCAAGCCAATTGTTTTTGACCTGCCAGGTACGTAGCAGGGACACCGCAGCCCCCATTGGAGCCTTCATGTGGCCTCTCCACTGGTCCATGTGGGTGGGTATTTTTGTCACGCTGCATCTCACCGCACTCTTCCTCACCTTGTACGAGTGGAACAGCCCCTTCGGTATGACACCCCACGGCAGGAACAGGCTGCGTGTGTTCTCCTACTCCTCCGCCCTCAATCTCTGCTACGCCATACTGTTTGGACGGACTGTCGCCACCAAGGTAAAGTAGCTCTCCTCTGTGTGATAAATAGGCATCATGCAGGGTGGGGCAGGGAATAGAAATTGCAAAGAAAGGGAGGGGATGTGCATTATGGGAAAGAGTGCACAAACAATGAGGGAGAGTCAAAAGAGGAAGTTAAAGGGAAAAGAGGCATGAAGAAAGATGATAGAGATGGCTAGGGAGGGGGAAAGATGGATAGGGGAGAGGTTAAGAAGGTAGGCAGTGATGAAGTAGAGAGAGACAGGGAGGATAATGCACATACAGCGAGGGAGAGGGGAAAGGGTAAGTGGGCCGACAAAGATTGAAGGAGTTATGGTGAGGATGATAGGGATGGATGAAGGTGGAAAAAGAGGGAGCGGGTAGAGGTTAACTCCCCGAAGAAGTCAGACACAAAGTTGAAAACAAGAAGGCAGGGGGAAGAGGGCCAATGGGAGGTGGAAAGGTGAGAGAGCAAATCAGGAAATGGGCTTAAAAAAGAAGGTAATAGTGAGGTGAACAGAAAGATGGTGAGAAAGGGTTGAAAGGGTAAGTGGGTAAGCAGAAATGAGAAAAGCAACAGCATGAGGGTGACATGGAGGTGGGCAGACAGAGGATGATGTAAGGGGGGAGGGCAAAGTTGCAGACCCAGGTGACGAAGTTAGTGCGAGAGGGAAATATGGGAGACAAGTGATCACAAAAGACAAATGGAAGTCAAATCCTCAGACTTAGGCAAATCTGTCCATTAAAAGATACCAAGAAAGATGAAAAACAATTTCCCCCCCAAAAAAACTCTTATTTTAAAAACATTAAAAAGGTACCTTTGAAGTAACATCATTCTTCAGAAACCTGTCAGATTTGACTGATCGTGTCACACCCACTGTACACTGCCACACATACCCAACCACAACGCTGATGAAAAACAACTGTCCTCTGCATTTTTTGTATTTTAAACAACATACTGTGCCAAAATCCATCATTATGATAACTTGTGCTTACGCTTCAAATTACCATGCAGCATATTCAGATAAATATCTGAAACATAGTTTGCTTAAATTATTCCTGTCCATTATACTCCTCTTAGTGAGTATGCACCCCATCATAATATTTCTCAAAACGCATAGTCACACTTTGTACCTAAAGGAAGCAGTGCAAATGACTTGTGTGAAACAGAGGTGTCAAAGTTATTAGAGAGACCTTGCCATAATTGAAAGGTCACAGGTTTGATCATCTCAACTGGTAATGTGTCAATTAGCAGGTCGTGTCCATTAGCTGCCTTGTGACCTGTTAAAATGCCCTTGAGCCACACTATGAACTTCTGTGTACTGGGTCAGGGCCAAGGAGTCATGTTTATTGGGGCTATGGGAAAGACAGTGGGCAAATAAATGACCGCTAAACTGCTAATAATAGTTTATTTCCCTCAAGCCAGTTATTGTAGTGTTCAGTTTTAATAAGACTTTGTCATTTTTTAAAAGTTTTATTAATTAAGTCAAGTGAAAATACACTTGTTTATTCTTTCCAAAGCCCCAAAAACAAGAGGAAATGTTTAAGAAATGGAGTGTTCCTCTAAAAATTCTGCAATTGTTTGCAATTGCATTGCCTGCTATTATCTTACTAATTCCTTGCCAAGCCAAGGAGTATGACATTAACGAACATGTGGGATTACAGGTTTGATTAAAAAACTATATTTGTTCAAGACTCACGTATTCAATGTGTAGTTTTTCCCCCCTAGTGTCGAGGCTGGTCCTGGGTACTGGCAGAGGCAGAGGCAGAGGGTAATGTAGCAGCTCTGTCCTGCTCTATATTTGGTGTAACACTTCAGCAACTCCAGCCAATGTTCCCCAAAATAGTGTTTGCCAAACATAGTCCTCAAAAGCCCTTTTTCTTGTGACATTACGTCAAGACGTGTAAAAATGCAAACAAGAACGTAAGCCAAGTTAAGCTGCCAAACAGGGTTGTGCAGAGTGAAATAACTGAACAGCCTGCTCCTACATTTTTCCTTTTTTTCATTGGAAAAGTAGCTCTGCACTGCCTGCAGTACAAAAACAATGCTGTTACATGGATCATCAACTGGATGCTGCTGACTTTTTGCCCGGGACCGAGCTTTAGTCTCTATATAAGCTTGATATCACATGTAGCCATCAGGTGTACAATTAAGACCCCATTTAAAGGATTGAGATATGATGGAAACATTAAAATGTCAGTCATGGGCTAACATTACCTTAATTAGCCAACTAGCTGCTGCTGATAAAAATGTGTCAGTGACAGTTGGCATTTCAATTGACAGTTACAAGCTATTAAATTAGTCATTTCTTAAATTACTCACAAATTCAGGTGGTAAGTCTGCCTGTTATTGTAAAACTGCATATAGAATGGATAGATTGACAGACAGTAACAACAGTAACTGATGGAGATAAGGCTTAAATTACATTTCATGCATTAGCAGATACAATGTGAAATGAAATACCTTGCCAAGAAAGCACATACATGGGAGCACTCTAAGTACCTTAATCATTAGATATCTTCAACTACACCATAGTGCAAAAAATAATATTTACAGTTTCCCTCACATCTCTTCCCAAAAACAATATTAATATAGAATTTATGCTCCTCGTGTGCGTCTTCCCTTTCTCCCCTTTCAATTCGCCGACTAATTATGCTAAGAGTTCAAAACATCCCGAACACCTTCATAACAATGGGTTACAACCTTGTTTGTATAATTAATGTCTCATTAATCTCAAGCCTTTAAAAACACTAGAAATTCATCTCTTTTCTTCTGTTAAGTGGATTTTAATTGGTGGAATAAAAAAATGATCACAGTGTTCAGGTGGATTCATTCCCTGAGGCAGGTAATTTCATGGAAAGATATTTCTGATGTGTCTCACAAACAGTCACACTTAGATTTTCCCTTCTGCATTAGCTCTTCTCTTGGTCTGTTGTGATTAACTTGATTAGCTTTTCTTGGGGGTTAATTGGGATTTTTAAGGAGGAGGAGAAGGGGGGGGGGGATTGGGAGCCTCAGGGGGGCTCGCCCTTTATGTTAACATCTGATAGCAACTTTCTTCACACGTTTGTATTTTTAATTGTTTTAATCCCTGCCCTTATTTTTCAATCATACAATTGTTGTTATCTCTCTCTCCTCTATGTTTTTGACTTGACCTGACATTTCAGTTTTGAGCGTGGATATTTTTAGATTCACTCATCAAAAGGATCTATTTATTTCCTTTCTTTGATCTGTTTAATTATTATTATGACCAAAGTAAAAACAAATCCAAACAAAAAAAAATCTCTAATGGCATAAATTTCTTATCTGCAGACTCCTAAATGCTGGACCGGACGCTTCCTGATGAACCTTTGGGCCATCTTCTGCTTACTGGTGCTGTCCAGCTACACCGCCAACCTAGCTGCAGTCATGGTCGGGGAGAAGACCTTCGAACAGGTCTCAGGAATACATGATGACAAGGTTAGACTGCATACAAGGACACAAACTTGCAACTGCTTGCATGTCAGCATCCACACGCACACGCACAGACCCACAGCTACATGTACACACAAACTAATCTTACACAAGGACAGGCTAATGAGTAAAGAGCGGAATTATTTGTGAAGGATTATCGCTTTCCATATCCCTAAACCCTGTCGGGAGTTCAGAGAGAGAATGAATTTGATATGAGCCCCATCATGATATCCACCATCTCTCTCTCCCTCTCCCTCTCTATCACCTCTTCCACCATCTCCACCCATGTGTCACTTCCTCAGCTGCACCATCCCTCCATGGGCTTCCGTTTTGGTACGGTGAGGGAGAGCAGTGCGGAGGATTACATGAAGAAGAGCTTCCCAGAGATGCACGACTACATGAGACGCTACAATCAGCCAACCACCCCAGAAGGCGTACACATGTTAAAGTAAGGCACAAACACGTACATGCACACAATTAATTAATAATTCACACCCAAATGCATTCCAGACCTTAACAATCCTGTCATGTCCCTGTTTTCTGTGGTTGCCTGTATTCTTTGCACTTTTTTTTTAATGTGCACTGTGCATAACAATTCTGTCTACCTGCTCCAAAATATGTCACCTGATGACATCATCAAATCAAATTTTGGATGCTTTCATTTCCAGCTTGGCAAGGATGTTTTTAATATTTGTACCTACTGACTTTTTTATCTAAACATCAATCGAATTGTTCAATGCAGCTCAATCTAAGGTGTGTTAGGGTTGATTTTCCCTTTGATTTTCTTCCTCCTGCAGTGATGTTGTGTCTAAACCATCGGAGGATGTTTTCTTATTAAAGTCAACGCGCTGTTTGCTTTTTCATCTGACAGAGATACGATCAAATTCTCATCACTTTGTGAGCTGCATATATTTACACCTTGCATTAGTATGAGCTTTACCTTATCCAGAAATACTGCGTTTTAGCACAAAGTGCAATTGAGGTGAAAGCCTATGAATTACATAAATTTCATTAACAAAGTCCTCCTGATTTGAGGAGAAATATTGTAGTTAATTAAAAGTGTTGAGTGTAGAGATGAATAAAGGTCAGGGACTAAATTATGTAATAAGGGCTGAGGATGACTGGATGAATTGGGTGTCGAATGGGGATTGTGAGGAGATGAAAGCAGGAAGGCAAGGCAAGTTTATATATATAACACAGAATTCACAAAGGCTGTTTAAAGTACTTTACATAATGCATTAAAACACTGAATAGAAGATACAGCACAAGTTATTCAAAACACAGATTTAAGGGCTAGGAACAATTTTCAAAGAAGTTAAAAAACAGAAATAAATGGAAAGTAGTTCAGGATGAGAGAGTGGTTAAGGTTCATTCAAAGGCAGTGGAGAGAATAAAGGTTCTAACTTAGTTTTGATAGGTAATCCAAGTTGGGGTAAGTCTTATGGAAGTTTATGGAGCATAGGAACTAAATGCTGCTGACTCATATTTAGTTTTGACTCTGGTTGGTTAGCAAACCGCTACCAGATGACCCGAGAAACCAAGAAGCATAAAGATTTGAGGTGGGGGTAATCATTTAATTTGAGTATGCTTATAAGCAAGTATCCCTGTTATGTGTTTTGGGTTAGTCTTATTCTAGTTTTGGTCATATCTTGGATATGGTTTTTATGTGGAAAATGTAACCTTGTTTTTCAGCTCCCTGTGTACTTCATTATAACATCATCCAGGTTTCTGATTGTATGCATCAGTAAAGACATGTTCTTAACGCCACATCTTGCTAAACTCATTTCTCTACTAACAGAGTTACCTCAGCAGTGAATAATGAATCCACTTTGGTTTCTGGCTGCCTTTAATGGTTTGCTGAATTTATCCCCTCCATCTGATTACCTGTAATGGAAGACAGGAGCAACAATCCATTTATCCTTCACAAGACTTTCAATTTCATTTGTGCTTGTGGATTATTTTTGCATCATTTTTTCAGCATATTTTTTAACTTAATGTATCTCAATGAGGAGGAATAAAAAAGAAACCTTTATAAGTTGTTTACATGCTACAGTGTCCCAGTTTCTATTGGAGTACACCAGCTAGGATATTTGGGTTTCTCAAAACCAGGACAGAAAAAAAGGGGTTAGGCAGTATACCTAATAGGTTGGTAAAGGAAATTTAGGGAATTTCTATTTAAATGTAATCATTGTTTTAATTTCAATTACAATATTATCTGTATAGCACTAAATCATAACAGAAGTTATCTCGGGACATTTTTCCTAAAGACATTTTTATTATATAGAGGTCTAGACTTTACTCCTTATAAATATATTTACTGAGATCCCAACAATACCTTAAACACCCTCTCTTTTATTACCTTTAAGAACTAGCTTTAATAACTTAAAATAAACACACTTTATGGTCATATGAACTCATACATGGATACACCAAATACATTAATCTAGCAGTGATGGAGGAAGAATTTAGATATCATAATACTGCAATATCAAAATACTATTATATATATATTATTTTATATAATATATATATAATATATTTTATTAAGTATCAAAAGTAAAAGTAATTCAAAACATCTATGTTATATAGAGGTGTAAAAACTACATGATTTCCTTTTAAATGTAGCTGAGTAGACGTATAATGTGTCATGAAATGTATTATACTCAAGTAAAATACAAGCATCTCAAATATGTACTTAAATATATTATTTGGGTAAATGTAAAGTCACATTCTGGAATTCAGAATGACAAAAACATGTATATCCTAGTTTAACCAAGTACAGATATACAGACTATAACCACATATGCTTCTCAGACACAATGCCTATTCCATAGAACACCAGCAGAGATGCTGAGATAGTGCATGTGCTGACTTTGTGATACAAGTGGGAAGATACAAACCGCTTGTTCAGAGAAAGAGGATGAGAACGGCGTTTGTTTGCGTGCCAGGCGAAGCAGAAGTGGAAGTCACAGCAGTGCAGAGAACCGGAGTGAGGCAGTAAAATACTGTGTTGGCAGAACTACTGACCCCAATACTGCACTCAAATCTTAGAGGAAAAAAAAACTCATGAGCCTTCTCCTGGAGAGACAGAATGCCCAGGGCTACACATGCAGCTGCACATGAACACAAATGTACAGGCTCAGAGGAAATAATGCAAGCACATACCTACACACAGGCTTACCACTTACAGTCGTACCTACACACTTTCATTTCTACACACGCACGCTCACACACACACCACTCATATTCAGAGGCCAGGCATCGGATAACTTCCGACCCTTTTTAGTCCCACAAGAAGTCTATCCTATCCTCTCTCTTCTCCCTCAGCTTCATATTTGACGTTTCTAGGAAGAGAAAACCGACTTTTCTGCTTTGCCAGCAGAGCAATGACTTTCTAAAGTCAACCTTTTGTTTAGTAGTAAACATCCTGAATAACAAGTAGTTTCAGGTAATTTGATCAGTCTGTTTTCTACATTATACTGTGTGTGTGTGTGTGTGTGTGTGTGTGTGTGTGTGTGTGTGTGTGTGTGTGTGTGTGTGTGTGTGTGTGTGTGTTGTGTGAAAATATCTTTGTGTAATTCTGAATTTGTGCATTCATTTGGATGTCTGGGTGTGTGTCAAGAAATGTGTGTCTTTTCCTTTTTATCAATGTGTTTGTGTGTAGGTATCTTTTCAAATCCAGTGTGTTTTGCTTCATATCCTGAAACTTATCTTCTACCAGCCGTGGCTGGCAGCACAGGCTGCACACAGAGGAACAGTCTATAATTAGGGTTCAATTAGGGTCAATTGGATCGATATTGCCAGAGTAGGAGAGTCTTCGGCAGTGTGTTTAACGCCTTATCAGTCCACCACAGAGGCTGTTGGTTCAGGTAATGATGTATGTGTTTACACAGTGTATTAGAATGCAGTTAATCTCATCCTCTGTATAAATGACGAAGTGGGATGACAGCCCCATATAAAGGGTTCCTGCACAGGTATACGAAAGTTTGGCAAGTAAATCTGATTCATGTGTCTTTAAAAGTTTGAGGTTAGTTGTTTTTAATTAATGCTTCTCTCTCACTCTTGTGATGTGATGTGTGTGTGTGTGTGTGTGTGTGTGTGTGTCGGTGGTGAAGGACAGATCCTCCTGCCCTGGATGCATTCATCATGGACAAAGCCCTGTTGGACTTTGAGGTCTCTATCGACGCAGACTGCAAACTGCTCACTGTGGGGAAGCCTTTTGCCATTGAAGGTGCACACTCAGACTCAGACTCTCTCTCTCACACACACACAGACACACACACACACACACACACACACACACACACACACAAAGAAACATTTGTTTTAATCACGTGCACGGACCTTGTATTGACTTACAGTGATTCCCTGTTACTTTTAAAAAGCACCTTAAAACTACCTTGATCTTCTTGATCTACTTCTTTATTTATTTCTTCCTCTGTAAAGCACTCTGTAACCCTTTTCAAATGTGCCATATAAATCAAGTTTGATTTAACCTCTTTACTTTAATCAAAAACCACTATGTCTGACTTCAATGTTTACACTAACCTTGACCTAATAATAGTTGTTTTCCTAACCCTAAAGTCTAGTTTTCATATCCTAAAATAAATTGACCTTGTGGTGACCTGCTTGTTGTCCCCACATTGCAGGTGAGTCCCCACAATTTGACTATGAAAAGATTTGTCCCCATAATGTGATTAAGTATTCACCCACATATACGCACAAACCAAAAGTGGCTAACACACTTTGCATGCACACACATGAAATAAACTATAGACAGAAGCATATAGTATGCACATACTCCCACACACATTCAGAAAGAAGATACTGATGTTAGCTACATGACTGACAGAATAACACTGTGATTCACTGTATGAACTTCATGCTGCAGGGTAAAAATACTCAACCATCTATTATTAACAACTGTGTCCAGTCAGAACATTTTGGACTTATCGCTTACAGGTCGAACTAACTGCAACACAGTTATGAAGCGCAGACAAATGCACACAGGGGGTTATTGTATTCAAGTTCTCATACAATGCTACGTATTAGTGGACATATGCACATGTATGTGCATGAGAGATGGTTGTGTGCATAGTGGTGGTTTGGTGTGTGTGTGTGCGTGTGTGTGTGTGTGTGTGTGTGTGTGTGTGTGTGTGTGTGTGTGTGTCTACTGGTGCTATTCTTAAAGGAAACTGTTTTCCTTTTAGAAGGGAGGATTTTTTCCATTTTCTCTAACATCCTCATCTCTACCTCTATCTGAAAATCCCCATATGAACCATGGCAGGCAAAGAAAAGAGACAGGCCACATAATAGAGCCATGCTGTCATGCTTTTGCGTTTAACAAAGTTGAATTTTCCACTGTTTTGCTTCCTTCTCCTCATCCCCCTACTCCTACACCTATAACTTGTGTACTACATACTTAGACTTGTGTACTACTGTGTACTACCCAAACTAAAGCTATTAGAAAAAAAGCATACATTATTAATAGCCTATCCTGTTAAAGAAGTTCCAAAATATTACCAAAATGTATGCTTGTTGTAGTGAAGCATGCTGATCCACATGTCCTGGGTACAGTTACAATAACCTGCAAACTGACAAGAAACCCTTTACTTTCTAGGCAAACATAACTGCACTGCAACTTGTATCACTTCAGCACTGCTTTATTAGTCAGTAAGTAAATCAGGTCTTATTTAATTTTGTTTTAAGGAATGGATACTTGGGTACAAGACTAATCACCATTGTGATTGATGATAAAAATAAATTGTGTTTTTGATAAAGTAATGAATTGCTTTGAACAGCTATTATAGCTAGATATACATTATTATGACTAGTTACAAAAGTAATGACAGTGATAATAGTAGTTGTGGCAGAAGTTCTAGTTTCCTTAAGTGATATGTGTATGCTATAAACTCATACTGTATGAATACAGTGTGCAGAACAAGAATAAATTGTATCACTTTTAGAAATAATGGCTGCTGGCGACCTGTCAAAAGAAATTATGTCTTAGCTCTGATAAAAGTCTGGTGCTCCCTTTCATTGAGGTAAATAAAGGTTCCAGCCATTATTTCAAGTTTTACTGTATTCTAGTCACATGTCATCTGCACATATACGCATATACTGAAGGTGACTTTGAAGTGAAATTTTCGCTGGCAGAACACATTTATTGGATGTATCAAGCATTTAACCTCTAACCCAAACTCAGCTCAGCCACTGGAATGTTTTTACAGGTATAGAATTAGGATGTGTGCTCATGCCTGACGCTGACGTACATTTATGTACATGCATATTACAAATGTGTGCGTACTTCTATCTGTGTTTGTTACAGTTCAGCCTTTTCTTTTCTCTTCCCATCTCTAAGACAGGCACACACAGATACAGTGACAGAAAATAGATACTAGTAGGGGTGCCACATGGGACCAAACACTAACTTTGATACCATTTCTCTGTCAATCAAAGTGTAACCTCAGAAACACCCCACTCCCACATTCCCTACTCACTGTACAACTCTTGTTCACTGGAGATTATCTGCTGTTTCCTTCACTGCATAAGACGAAAAATGTCAAGAGACATTGCTGTAGCATTACTCATGATTGTGAGGATGAGAAAGCAGGTCTCATTGGTATGTAGAGTGGGTCAGTTTGATGACTACTTGATTCATTGTCTACATGAAAAGGCGGGCGAAGAATCCACACTGCCTTTGGTAGCTAGTCACCCCCACAGCCTGCGTGAGGAAGGATGGGATGGGAGTGAATAACTACATAAGTCTGAATGGTAAAGGAAGAAAGAGCAGGAAATGGCCCAGACAGGAAATGTGGTTAACGAAAAGCACCGGAGGAGGAGAGGAGATTTGAGGAAAGGAGGAGTAAATATGAGATGAAAAAAGTAAGTATGGGAAAGAACAACAAAGGTAAAGAAAGGGAGGGCCAGAGAGAGGGTGAGGGAGGTGGGAGTTGAGCACAAGAAGGAGATAGAGGGCTTTCATTTGCCCACTGCCAGTTTGCGCCTTTCTGCACAGCGAGTGATAAAAGAGCCAGCCAACAGAGTCCCCTAATCAAGACAAACCTTCACCCCAAGCAGATGGAGTGAGGGAGGGGGAGAAAGGAGAGAGAGAGAGAGAGAGAGAGAGAGAGAGAGAGAGAGAGAGAAAGGATGGAAGGAGGGAAAAAAGAGAGGAAGTGCTATTTGGTTCATACTAGAAGGCAGGAAGGATTTATAGAGCGGTTTGTGGTCAGGAGATACAGGGAGACGGAGGAATTGGGACTGTGGAGTCGCTGCAGGCAAGGTGCTCTAGTGGAATCTTCAGGCTACTTAAGTGGAGAGAGATGCGGGGGTGTCTCTGTGCGCCCGTTTTCACTGAGTGCTGTTGGGAGATGTTTACGACAGCCTAGACACACCCCATTAATAATATTGCCACTGAACACGCAGCCACTCACTGCTTGTTTGTATGTGTGCGCAATGTGTGTGTACGTGTGTTCCTGTGTGCATAAGTGGTCTATACAAGCTCAGTCAAGCAGGACAGGGTGCGTCTGAAGATCAAAATGAGGCTGGCAGAAGATTTTGTTGTTGTTGGTCGGGTAGCACACATCTGGCAGGAGTGACGTACAGACACCTTTGTCTGCTTATGCTTGTGTTTGTGTGGAATGTGGGTAAAAAAATTACTTTCTTTCTTCATTTTTAAAGTAAGATAAGCCAAATCAAATTGTGCAGAGCTGAATCCATCAAAAATGCCAAACATTCCTTATTTCTATAGCTTCCAAATGTTTTAAAATTTTGGTGCATTTCTTAAGAAATAGTAAACCGCATTTCTTTCAGTTTTGGATTGTTGGTCAAAACAATCAATATGAAGCTGTCACCTTGGGCTTTGGGATATTTTATATTAATTGATCATGAAAATAATCGTTAGTTGTTAGTTGTAATTATTCATTCATAGCACTTTAAACCACTTTAATATAACTAAAGGGCTGCACATTCAACCACGTTTATTAAATTACAGACATTCATTTCTCTTACCAACCTGTATTTACTCATATTGCAATTCTTAATAAATGTTTGCCATATAAACAGACAGCTATTGATGGCTACAACAACCAATAAAGTCCAACCAACCAATCAGCCAAAAGCTCAGTTCATATTGTAATTAAAAAGACAAACATCAGGAAGAAATGCATGCAGTGATGCATAAAGAAATGTTGTCCTTTGAAATTGAACTTTGAAATAAATCTGATAATTCATCATTTGGCTATATCCTACAACCAAACATACTATATAAAATTGCTCTATCACTGATTGAATTTCTACAATAAATACCAAGTTCATAGAAGCTTTAACATTCCTCTGGCAAACAGGAAATTACGTGTTTTACATTTTCAGCAGCAATTAATGAAAGACCAAAGGAATACTACATACAGAAAGTCAAACTTCATTAAAAGAAATCCAATATAAAAAACCTTAATAATTTTTGCCACAGTGTTTGATTATAACATTTAGAACTACAGCACAAAAACACAAAAGAAGAAGTGCTTAGGAGCAAAAAAAGTATTAAAATGATTATGTTTTAAAGTTATCAATACTTGCAAAACAGTTACTCTACGTTATCAAATTGCGTTTTTGCAAAAAAAAAATGTCGTAAATTTTTTTACAAACCTATAAAATTGTTCAAATAAAACTTGATGTGCCCTGGTGTATCTGTGTGTGAGTAGGTGTGTGGGAGATTTGAGTGACAGCTTTGGGACTAGAGGCTTGTGATGGAATATGCGGATGTCTGGGGGAAAGAATCAAAACAAATGACAAGTGGCTGCCCACTTGTATTTCACCGTCTGACTGCTGTAAAGAAATGTGGATGGAGATAGGCTGATGACAGAAAAATGCTGTCTGTCTTCTGGAAAAAAAGAAAGAGGAGGGAGACGTACGGAGACAAAGCAATGGACTCGGGAGAGGAGCCGAAAGATAAAGAGAAGAATGGATTGAAGCAGAAACTGAACGAAATTGAAGGGATGACAGAGATAAGGAGTGGACTAAAAAGAGAAAGAGACTAGCGGCAATGGTGGGAGAGAAATGTCCTCGGACAGGAAACGAAGAGGGATGAGAGGGAGAAGTGAGGGGAGAGGAAGAAACTGAGGAGGGAAGGTAAAGGAGGGTACGAGCAAAGGATGGAGGGGAGCTTAGACAGTCTTTGTCATGTAGGAAGCAGAGTGTGACAGTTACGTGAACCTTAGCTATTCTCTCTTTCTGTCCGCAACCCCCATCAGGCTTATACACCTTGACAGCCAACACACACACATAAACACACTCACAAACAGCTGCCAGGTCTGAGTCAATCAGATACACACACAAAAGCACTGTTGGCATGACTGTCTTTGACTGCAGTACAGATGAAATAAAACAAACAACCCCAGGAGATCTTGTATAGCAATAAATCTCCGAGAGGGTCTTTTGATTCCAAGCTGAGGGACAGATTTCTTTCATTTTGTACCTGCAGGAATGTGAGCTGTAATGCAAAACAGATGCAGTTTCAAAGTCTCAGCAGGGCAGAGCAACATTTCTCTCCAGCTTTCAAGTTGTGTAATGATACATGAATGTGCCGCTTTTGAAATTAAAACATTGAACAGTGGTGGAAAAAAGTTCTTTAATCTGCTACTTAATTAAAAACATTGTAGTTATATAATTTTATTGCTTTAAGTGCTGTGTATTTTATTGCTGTGTCTGGTCTCATTACTCCATATACTGCTGGTGTTTTACCTTAAACAAGAGGGAAATAAGGAAGTCCAAGGCAATACCAATCAAGTGATGATGGAACAGTTCCTACAAATCAAGCATGCATTAATATTTAATGTACTATAACAATGATTTAAATTATTGACTGCATATTTAAAATATATTTGAAGTTATTAAATCCATATCAGTGGCGGCAGCAAGTTTAAGCTTTAATTGCCCTTGTCAGCAGAGTTATCAAGTGTTATATTTTCCTCGGATATTTGAAGGAACTTTTCAGTAACCCTAACTCAAAACTAGCACAAATACACCAGTGACGGGAGGACAGAAATAAGATCCACAAAAGAGCTCTAATGTCAGCGTGTTATCAAGTTCCCGTGCAAATGGAGCGAAACTGGCCTTTGTTTGGTCTTTGTACAAAAGTGGGTCTTGTATCTGTAACCGGAGAGGATGAGTGTGAAGTGAGCGCGGAGTGGATGATCTGCGTCATAGACGATGATAAGTGTTTTGCAACCGATGGTTCTGGTTATGAGGTCAAGGTAGGTGAGAGGTAGGATGTCCAATTAGTGATGTAGTGTGGGTGTTTTTTATGGAACCTGGAAGTGTTGTAACAAAACAGACCCCATAGCTGGAAAAGGACAGTATTCTCTCTGAACACATTCAGATTTTGATATATTGTATGTCATAAAATCTACTGCAGATAGAATGAAGCATATATTACAGGCTGATGACTGAAGTATGAAGTGGCATGCACCTCTTAATATTCTTCAGACAACCTTCAGGGAACGCTGTCTAAACAAACTAATGGAAAATCTAGTAAAGTTGAACAAAATTAAGAGCAATGGATAAATACACTAATTACACTTAATTTGAAGACGAAGGAATTAATTATGGTGTGCAGGTGAGGAGAATAATTTAAAAAATGAATCTCCAAAAAAGCATTGTTCTTTATGAAATGGACAGAGCGTAAAACATCATGACTGACATGTCTTCGGCTAAATTTGGAGTAATTTCTCATAACACATGGTGATGCAGGACCAATTCCTCCCACATAGTGTTTTCATTTACACAGAAGTAATTTATATTACACTAATAAATCACAGCAGGGCGACCACAGCCATGTGAGTGCATAACACAAACACAGGGAACAAAACTGCCTGTAAGGAGTGTAGTCAGGTAAATTATGAGCATATTTGCATCCTATCTACTAAAGGGGGTTGAGCCAAACTTGATCCCACTTCAATCCCGGATCAGACTTCTTGACATCAGCCTGAAAAAAATAGTCTGATCTGACAAATGAGGGGTGCTGGGAATGGGAATGAGCATCGGGCACGACAATTTGTCATTTTATCTTGTGAAGTGTTTCATAGTGGAAGACAAGCGTAGGACGACTCACAAGACTCCGTCAGAAAGACTAGCAGTTTGACACCGTTTACAGCATTCTCTGTGATGCTTCAGATGCATTAGATGTTGACACTGATCCTCGAAGTCTATCTGTAGCCCAGGGATGCGCTAATCCATCTTTTTTCTCTCCAGATACTGATTCCAATACCTCAACTCTAGGTGCCTATCAGATACCAGTGCTCTCATTTTCCCTGCTTTAATAATGTGAAAACTCACTGCTTGAAACTCTTTTTAATCATTTTTATGTTAGGTAACATGAGGCCACGGATCGCTGTGGCACTAAAAACTTACGTGGCAGCCTGCTGCGACTACATAAATGTAACTGATAGCACAAACACTGAATTTTTATGATAGAGAAATTGTATTTAATGTGGATGGGTTACACCTGGCCAATACAAATCAATGCATCCATACTCTAACCGCTATCACCTTTGTATGTCATGAAAGACCGCATTTGTTGGGGTTCAGTCTGTAGTCTGACTCGGACAATGATCACCTACTCTGACAAATGACCATCTGGAAATCACAAACATCCTCTAGTTATATATGGCATTAAATGTGCCTGCTGTTTTTGCAGTGAGAAGGCATAGTAAGGAAAGCCATAAAGGGAAGAACAGACAACTCAGTACCAGAATTTGATCCACTACTGTATGTATTCTGTAACCCAAGGGATGCCTCCATCAGCTTTAGTGGTTTTGTGCTCTGTTTCCCGACAGAAATACTACACCAGAAGCACAGGGCAGTGTATTTGCACTGTATTTGCACTGTACCTTTCAGAAAAAGTGTTGCTTCCAATTCCACCTGAAGACTGTAAAGTCATAAATCTCCTCTTTCCAGAGGGCATCTGCCCTTTAGCTAACTGCAACTGGCTGTGGTTTTCTGCACAAAAACACCATGTTAAACACTAGTAGAAACGTGTGTCTAACTTGGTGTTTTTTGTGTCTCTTCCTCAGGCATGATTGTTGCTCTCTGATTCTGTTAACTATAGCATATGTATTTAAATCTGTGTGTCTCCTCTTTCAGGCTACGGTATAGGCCTGCCCCAGGGCTCTCCTCTAACCCGTAATGTGTCAGAGTTTGTGAGTCGCTACAAGTCTGACGGCTTCATGGACATGCTACATGACAAATGGTATAAGGTTGTGCCCTGCGGGAAGCGAGTCTTTGCAGTCACTGAGGTAAGTCATTGGTGGAAGAGTGTGTTCATGTATTGTGTACGTGTTTGGTGTGTAAAGCAAAGCCGCCTGTAGCTGTACTCCAATAAATGAATCTCCCTTTGGGACATGGACAGGATTGCCTGCCAACCAAGCACACATACACTGACCACCACATTCACATTCACATAGACACAGACACGCACACGCACACTCAAACATGCACACACAGACAAAGACATACAATCACATAAACTCAGGCCTATTTACCGACCTTAACCAGAGTTACAGGCACGTACCGTCTGAGTGTCGATACTTATTTGTGTCTTACGTGCTACAGAAGAGTACTCTCAGTTCTCGCCCTCCCTTTTTCTTTTCATTCTTTTTAAGGAACTGCAAATCTCTAGACAGAGCGCACTGTCTGTATCTATATCTCTTGTTTGTGAATAGAGAAACTAGCCAACTCCCTCTGGCCATCCCTTTTAAATCCCACTTCAAAGTTGAATCATATTATAGCAACAAACGCAATTACACAGTCATAGGTTTCTCCAGTGAAATGAAAACCTTAACTTCACCCTGCATCAGGAAGTTATTACTATTCATCTCATCTAAAGCCTAGAGAGCGGGCCACTCTCAAACAATGTGGGCGTTAGTGCGATCTTGCCCTCTGGATTGGGAGCAAAAGGAGGTCAGTGTTGTCGCTGATGAATTTGCCGAGTCAGCATGGGGCTAATTGCCATCAGAGGCAGTGGAGAAATGAGCCGGGTGAAGGAAACATGATTAGAGAGCAACGGAAAACCTCGCCACTGTCTCTTCCACTTCCTCCAGGCCCATGAAAGACTCATAAGAGGTAGACATTATGTCAGGGGGAATGTGGGCGAAGCAAATGGGAACAAACTGCTCTTCAATTAGCCATCGTCTCTTTTTACCATCTCCCTGCTAACTGCTGTTTCTTTCTATTACTCTCAGTTTTGCTTCCCCGTCAGCTCTTTATGCTTGTTCTCTCCCCTCACTTCCTTTTCTTTCCAAACGTCTTTTACGCTGTTGCCCTCTCCTCTTTATTTCCATTCCTATGGGCTTACATAGCCAAACCAGCAGAATATCAATTGCATAGTCACAAAAAGTGGCCTAAATGGTAATTATGTAAATACAAATCATCAATCTCTGTATTTTCGGCTTAAGTCTTAACTAATCTATGTCACTCCCCCAACCTCTCTCTCTCTCTCTCTCTCTCTCTCTCTCCCTCTCCCTCTCTCTCTCTCTCTCTCTCTCTCTCTCTTTCTGTCATCGCCCCCTCAGACTCTACAGATGGGGATCCAGCATTTTTCAGGCCTGTTTGTGCTTCTGTGTATGGGGGTGGGTGGAGCCTTGCTGACCTTGGCAGGTGAACACACCTTCTATCACCTGGTCATCCCCCGCCTCCGCCGCACGCACACACTGCAGTACTGGCTGCACACCAGCCAGGTGAGTATATACATGCCATATGTGTGGTGGCATGGATATATGCACACGCTCTCACACACAAAGGTCACAGAAAGGGTGCATTAGTCCAGCTGTAAATGTCGAATTACTCACATGTATACGTGCACACACAAAGACACGCATATGAGAACAGTCACTTTCACTCACACACTCACACAAGCATCCTGCTGTTGCTGAGACGTCCTTAACCCTTTGAGTTAACTCTTATTTTGCAGGTAACCTACGCCCTCTACTGTTGGAAACTTGTAATAACAGTCGAGAATAGGGCTAATATGAATTATTATAGGACACATTTCAATTGAACAGTTAACTTTAAGCTAAATGGTTTAATGCTAATTAAGTACTGTTAATTAACTCATTAATTCTTTAATTGTGCTCTATAAATTAATTCGAATACTTCAAATTAATTAGTTAATTAAGTAAAAAGTTATTAAATGGTCCTCACTGGCAGTGCTTTATTCATTGGTGTATGACCACACAATATGTCTTTGTGCATTTGTTTTGTTTAACTTTTTCTGTTCTGAGGCAGTTGATTTATAAATATATTATACACATCATTAAATGTGCCTTTTCATTCAAATTCCTGTCTTTTATCACTTTTTACTCAAGAAAATAATTTTAAAAACATTCTTTATTTAACATGCAATTCAAATTTGGTATTTAGTTAAGAAAATAACTAAGAAAATGATTAAATAAGATCTGTAGAAACTTTTTTTGCAATTAGACTGTTAGAAAACTTGTGTATTTAGAACAACGTACACCAAAGGAACCACAAATTGGGGATTTAAAGGTCATATTTTGTTTTTTATGAAACTCTAGCCATTACCAAATGAGGTGCCTGTGGCAATATTGTTGAGTGAATAATGGAACTAGCAGTGTGAATATCAACACTCTCACATTTGTTTGCTACATCCCCCTAAAAGGGCAGCCACTCCCGGGCAGCCTCTAGCATTTATCACAAAACCAGCTTAGCTATCTGAGAGGACGGCATCGGAGTTAGTCCCTCAAGATAATCGTTATCTGTCTCCCTTCTGCTCAGACAGCTTCAGATGTATAACAAGAAAAATTAAAGCATTTTCACCTTATAACTTAAGAGGATGGTTTGGAAAGGGGGAGGGGGGGTATTTCAGCACTTGGGTACCTAAATCAAACAGGGCTTAAGCAACTGATACTTTAACCTCTCTCACAGTTTTAAGCAGAAAAGAACTGCCTCTCACTGAATTACAATCATTTCATTAAATTATTCAAAGGAGCACCACAGCAGGATTTCTGAGGAATAGCTGTCACAGATGTTCTGTACAGCTGGGTAGAATAATGGCTCTTAGAAATTCAAATTCATTCTCTCCTGATTTATTTTCGAGCTGATGAATTGATAACAAATTTCACATTACTAATCAGTAGTTCTTACGTTTTTCTCTTTTCTTTACTTGCAGAAAATTCACAGAGCCCTCCATACCACATATGAGGACGTTGGGAAGGAGCTGACTGGCCTCGACGAAAAGTAATGAAGTCATCAACTTGTGCATCTATACGCTTAACTGTTACATTTGAAACAGCTAGAATAGGCCAGTTCAATTCAAAGTTCAACAACTGCAGTATGACTTGATAACAATGCAAAGTACTTTTTGCAGTGATATCTTTATGGTAAATCTTAAAAAGACATGACATTTATATTTAGTTAAAAATAACACAAACAGAAAAATTCTAATCAGCCAAGCAAGTGACGATGATTTGAGGCACATTGCATTGCTTAGTCTGCACTTAATGATCTCTTTATACTCAAAACAAAACAAACTACATTCTAAATGCAATTATGCCACTTACATAGTATACATTTTGTGTTTGCAGTTTGCTTATAGGAAAATGTCTCCATGTATGTATACTACTGTACAGTATATCTCACTGGATATATGCCCTTTGCTGTGATCTTCCCCTCTTTCACTAGCCCCTCCTCTTGTATCTCAGAGAACTGCACCCTACACAGGAAACAGCATCCTCCTCCTCCCCCATCTCCCCCCACCTCCCTCAATGCTTCCACTACTGCTGGGGACACAGGCAACTCCTCACCCTCCCATGAGCCCAAGGAGAAACGTGTGCACTTTGACCTGGAAACCCTCCACAGCTACCGCCTGCGCACACACACCGCCTCAGTGCGCGGCAGGCCCGGTATGGTCGGCCGACCTGGGCTCGGCCTAGGTGGGTTTGGGTTGGGCACCCTCGGGGGTTTTGCCTCCCCTCCACAGATTAGCCTCCATGCCAACGGAGGCCCCGTTTCTACACTGGCCTCCACAGGCTTGGTGCTCTCCCCGCTGGGAAGCAGGGTTGCTCAGACCAGCATGTGGGAGGGAGAGCTCCAGGACCTGCAGGGGAAGATCGAGACGTTCCGCACCCAGCTGAGAGAGGCTCTGGCCAGGAGAGCGGAGATCCAGAGCAGCCTGGAGAGAGAGAGAAGTGGACTTGTACGCAGGGATACCAGTCTGGAGAGGGAAAGAGACAGACAGAGGATACAAACTATTAACACAGACAGAAGTAGCTCCACTCAGCCCAAACTGCCTGAGAGAGACAGGACCAGCCAACTCCAAACCCTGAATAATCAACAGACAGGGAGGGTTAATCAATCAGGAGGTCCTGTGACTCTGGAGCATGTGAGAAGCAGCCAGTTAAACACAGTTAACAGTTTGGACAGAGGGAGAGCCAACCAGTTACGCTCTGTTAACCCTTTGACGGGAGAAAGGACTGTCCAATCACGCACTTCCACCAGTTTGGAGCGAAATCGAGTCAACCAACCAGGTGCTGGAAATATAACTGTCCAATCACGGAACACTTCTAGCCTGGACAGACAGAAGGCTAACCTATCGAGCACTCTGAACACTTTGGAGAGGACAAAAGCCAACCAATCAAGTGTAAGCAGTGGGACTTGATTGTCTTTCTGAAGCTTCTGATGTGTAGGATTGCAGAGGGAGGAGAACAGTTGGTGGTTGCATAGCCGTGGGAAGATTGTTGGAGTGGGTTATGTTTAGAGGGCGCTTGCTGAAAAATTACAATATATGTTAACTCACACCATTACTTACTGCAACCTAATAATTTTAATACTCCCAGGCTCGCTTAAAAAGGACAACTAAAAACCTTTAACTGCAATTTAAGAACTAGTTAAATGTCTGCATTATCCATAAAATCATAATTAAGCAAAGTAATCTTGTGGAATGAAAGCAAATATGATTTCAGTAAAATCTCAATATACTTTCATAAGAACCAGATCAGGCAATGCTAAAATCACAGTGCTAATTGAGCAGACCAGTGGTTCACAGGAGGAACCATCAGCCACAGCTGTCTGACAAACACAAGGCAATCAACTGAATAAAATACGGTTAGTTACACAGGCCTGCAAGAGCACAGAAAAATCAAAGTTAGCTCACTGTGAAAAAATAACAACAAAAACTATGTGAAAATGCACATGCAACATCCGTATTAACTGTGCCAGCAGCAGGAGGTAAAGATGCAAAAAAAATCAATATATTTTAGGTAATTTAAGTAATAATTTCCCTAAAATGTGAATGATAAAGAAAGGAAGGAAACTGAACAATGTGTGGTACAGCCTTGAATCAATGTACCTTAAGATGGAATTTAAAAAACAAAAAAAACTTTTGTGTATTGAAACCTTGTATTCTTCTCTGTATTGTCCCGACATGTCCGCTGTGTCAAAACGTATTTTTGTAGCAAAATCTCACCCTTGTAAAATGTGTGAAAACTGAAAATGTGTCTTGCAAACTGAGCCATCCCCAAACAGACGCTTTGAGATGGTAATTTTCCTCTGTGACATGATGGGCTCCATATAAAAAAGGCAGGATGCTAAGCCAGGAAAATTCCTCTGAATGGAAAAACTGTCTGCGGTGGAATTGATTCAAGTCATTTGGACCCAAATACATACCTCCAGCCCATTTTATGGCTGCTAGGTTTAGGTCAAGGTAGCATACCATTTAAATAGTTCTGTCCTCATTGATAACTTGTGTGTGTCACTGTTGATACACTGTCTGTTGTTAATGTTAACTAGTCATAAGGGGTTTTACTCAGTCTGTGAAAGCAGTAGTACAGTGGGTGTAGTACAAAAGTCTGAGAAAATAACTCCTGATGACATTTATTTGGAGATTACGCAACTTTCTAAGAACTCTTTTCCTAATCATAACGGTGGTTTAACCCTCCTCCACATCAATTCTAATAAAAAGATGCTATTGGTAAATTTAGAATCCAGCGTTTTGAAAGTTTTACCCATACTAAAGGCTGAAAGTCAGGTTCTTGGCCTCTGCTGCTTCAGTTTTTATAATCCCTTTTTTACGATATGTCTCTTGTGAGTCCTCCGACTTTATTAAAGTGCAATACTAAATCACTGCAGCACCCCTTTAATTAAATCGTTTTTTCTTTTTTTTTAGAGTAAACGTGGCTGAACCATCCCATTACTTGCAAGGCTACCTTAACATTAAATGTGACCATCACTAGCTGCAGCAGCATGAATCAGAGCTGTATATTTTGTTGTGAGTGCTCAAAATTGCAGCATAATTTCAAAGCAAGGTGGTTCTTCATATGTCCTTCTGACTGTTGGTCATAATTTAACAGCCCAACGTAGTGTTTATATGAGACATGCAATACTACAGAACAAAATTACAATCTCAAAGTCATTTCACAGAACCTTTAATTATCTAATCAACCCAAAAACAGCTTAAAACAGTAGCATATCTGCTTGGATTGTGGCTCCAGCCTGCAAACAAACGGTATCAATTTGGAATGAATTTGCTCACCATATTCATTACTGAAGGAACTTATCAAGAGTCTGGCAGTATTCTCGTGCTCAGTGACTGTATTGCGCATGAATTCACACAGAAAGGAAAAATTCAATTTCACTCCCTGCAGAGCTGATTGAGCTCTGATAAGTGAGACCTCATGCTGTTTTTGTTTGTTTAATCATTATTAATCATTAAAATAGATGTACTCTTTTACCCTGTTTGCACTCAGATAAAGCATAATATTTTTTTTGTTTTCAACTAAAACAAAGGGAACTAAGTTTCATGCCTCATGCCAATAATGTGGAATGATGAAGAGAGAGGCTGACTGGATTAGCATTCTCATTCAACCACCAGAGGAAGCTGCATTCCTGCTTCCCACGGCTATGGACAATGGGGAGTTTATGGATTGAGGTTTTAAGCAATTGACTTATGAAGAAACGGTGACAGATGGAAGCTGCATTTTGTTCTGTTGTTCTCATGCAGCAGCAGAGGTCCTGGGGAAAGACAGCCGATATGAAATGACTCCAGCACTATACAATGCAATGTTACCTATTAGTATTGTGATACTCAATCTTGTGTGAGTCTCTCAACAATTTAAACAGGTGTTTGGAATTTCACTGGCCCACAGGTCTGAGACACAGACACTGATATTACTGAAACAGAACTTTTTGATGGTACTGATGTACATTTAAACGTTTCAAACTTTACTGTGCTGTGAAGTGGTTGTGTTCACATGCCATGGTGTCTATGAGGAAAAAATATATTTTAAGTCTTTAATGAGAAAGAGCTTGTGGTACTGGATATTTAAACAAATACTTTTAAATTTACCCCTTATAAAAATTGTATCAGCATATTATTGAATTTTATCATAATGACCATTCTCATGTTTTGAAATAAACATTTATATACTTATTTGCATTATCTCATATTTTGAGCATAAAGTTGTTAAGATGTTTTTCAAAATACAAAGCCTTGACCTTCTTAGAAAATTTAAAGAGCATACACTTTAAGTATATAACCTTTAACTTGTCCTGAGTCACTTTGATGAATGTAGCCCCCATCAAACCCATTTAAAATCTATTAGCCCACTAATTTCATTGCATAAATGTTATTTTAATGGTTTTTGCGGACAGGGTGTCATCCAAAATTGTCAAGGCCACCTCCTACATGAGTGCAAGGACACAATTTTATTAAAATGACACTAGCATAAAAAAGTGTAAAATGCCTAAATGTGTTGTCAGATAATATTAAGCGCATATTAAAGTGCATTTCTGCCAAATGTGCAACCTCACAGCCATTTCAACCTCTCAGTTCATCAAGAGTGCAAAACAGAGCAGCAGCAGCCTCAACACTAGCTTTTATACTGGATGAGCTTTAATTGGTAACAAGTAACAGGTGTCAGAGGAGCCAGTAGCAGTAAAATGTTAGCAGGTTCTCAAAGGAATATCATACCCTTTGTCAACAAAAAAAAGATTTAAAAGAAATAGTAGGATTAATTTAACAGCTAAAAATATAGAAATATAGTTATGTAACACATTTTTTGTCCACGTTCATATCCTTGATAGTAGAAGAACGGAAAACAAGATGTCCTTCATGAGTAAAAACGATTTTTTAAATTTCTGGTAAAATATATTTTATATAATGTAATATTGCCCACATGTATATAGAAATTATTTAGCTTTGATTTTAAGATGGATTTGTTTTACTTTGGACATGCGCAGCTTTTGTAGTATGTCAGATCTCACAAGAGTGTTGCAAGGCCACTGGTTGCGCAGTCTATGGCAGTGTATAAGCAAGTAGTTTACAAGCTCAATGACTTGTATAAAGCAGCTTTAAAGGGCCAACCTTTCTGCTGTACACTGTCATTATGCATATGTATTGCATGATAAAGGTGTAGCATTACCTCTAGATAAATGAGAATCTGTGGCAGCTCTAAAGTCAAGTCGACTTTCAAGACCTGTGATTATCTCTTGTCATTTTAGGTGAAAAGAAATAAAGATGTGAGCATTTTGACAAAACGGTACTATGCAGACAAGTAATGCTGCACAGTGGAACGCAAGATGCAGCCTACAATCCAGAATACATCAGCAGTATTAAGCTATCTGTCTAGAAAGATGAATCTACACCCACTATAACAAAGTGTTACCATGGAGCACTTAAGCAATTGATTTATGTGGGACACTCTGTAAGCCTTCTATCAATTGCTTTGTTGCATTGTAACTTATTGAAGTCCTTCTTATAAAGTGATCCACATTAGACAGTCAGTTAAGTGTAAGACTCCTCTAAGACACACCTTCGTTCTTGAGGCCACTTAGGAGATTTAAGTACTACTCCATCTGGGGGGTATAATGGTCTTGTTTAACTTGTCATGTAATGACAGCTTTCAGCCACACAGAGGCACTTGAAGCCATCCCAAGGCTCATGAATGTGGAGTGTGGGGTGGAGATACCTGCAGAGAATGACTTCGCATTAGGGATGCTTTAGTGTCTGAGATATGCTCTCATTTCCAATCATTTTACCTGAAAGATAGCCATCTTTGGATGCAAGTAATTTCTTATCAGTGTCTGCCCCACTTGTGTGTATATTTGCAGGTCAGTCACACTTCAGTCACCCCATGACGTAGTGGCCCACATAACATGGCAGAGCAAATCATTGTTACACATTTCATCTGTATTGATTTATAGTTTGGTATTTCATATTACAGGGGAATGTTGTATTAACTACATAATCATAGCAACATTAATACTCTTTCAAAATACCATTTACTACCTGATAATTGAGTGTGTGTATGAAACCTGACACAAGGGAGAATTGAAATTGATACCACAAAATATCATTCTTCAGTACAGATGAGCGCTAACAGCGTGTGGGATGTTTGAAGAGGATGAGAGACAGAGAGAGAGAGGGATGGGAGTAGCATGCTGATGATTTAGTGCCGGTACATCGACCAGACTGTATAAAGTAAAGATAATCGCACGGTGATAAAGCCAATCAATCACATGTTTGCTGCGCTCACACATGGTTGGATTCTCCTTGTAATAAAACAAACAATGGGCTCTTTGTCAGGTGTCGGGGTGAACTGAATGGGTTGTAAAAGAAAAACAAAAATCAATGAGAATCCAAACTAAGGTTTGTGAGGGCTTTCATAGACGGATGGGTGAACATGTCCACATTCAGACATCTACCTAACCTAGATGCTTTCATGCAACATATGTGAAGTGTGTGCTGACCTTACAATGCCTCAACCTGGAAGTCATTTACATGTGCATGCATGTAGTATGCTGCATGTGTGGTGTGGATGCACATAGTAACTGACTTTTACTTTTACTTTTACTGTATCTTTATCATCTCTGACAGGGAGCCATATATACATGTGTATATCTGAATGGAGATGGCAGGCCTTTTGCTCATACGAAGTAATTGGGTCAGATGTGTGAACAACAGTCAGAAAGAATTTTAATCAAACTTAAGAATCCCCAATGTCCCCCCCCCCTCCCCCCCCGGCAATCAATTACCAACCAACTGGGGTTAATAGTAAAGAGTGCCGATAATGCACTAACTCTGTGGTTATTTCTGCATCTCAGATGTACTGTAACTGTGACCAAATTCACCATATTGAGAGTATGAGTAGCCTGTGGGAAGCAGTAAAGTGTTCATCCACCTCCACCTCACATGTTTCTCTCCCTCTCTCTCTCTCTATAGTGCTTTGTCTACTTGGTAAATAGGAGCCATGCTCTGTGAGTGATGAGTTTATTAGCTCCTGCCAGCTGTGACCACCCTTGGATATTATTTAGGGGGTGGCGGTGTCAGTGTGTGTGTGTGTGTGTGTGTGTGTGTGTGTGTGTGATGATGTGGGGGGGGGGGGGGCTCCGGGCAGGGAATGAGGAGGGGGAACTTCAGGGGCGCAGAGGAGGGAGTCAGAGATGAGGGAGTACCCCATGAGAACCAGAGAAACTCCCTGGCAACTGGAGACAGGATCAACACTAAATGGGGCGCCCCCATTCATCTAACACCAAGCAGCGACACAGAGCCAAATGACAGAGACTGAGAGAGAGGAGAGGGAGGGTGGCGCTCCTGTGCGCAAATATCTGAATGAGTGTAAAACCCATTGGAGGCTGGTCAGCATGCGACTTCCTCCTGCTCTGCACACTTGCAAATTAGTCTGCAGATATTAACATACAGGCTTGCAAGTGTCCCTGAACGTCTCACAACGCTCAACTATAAAAATGATTGATATGAGGAGAAGAAAAATTGCAGAGAGAGAGAAAAACATGTGGGCGCTAAAGGGATGTTTAAGTTCAGTTTTAAACCCCATTAAGAATTTATAACTGTGGGAGGGAAAGATATAGATCTGTTTCAGAGAACATCTTCAGCAACCACAAAAGTGCACATGTGCAAAAAACGGCCACACACGCACTTGTGCACCCACGGCCGACTGTCTGATGTTAATTGCCGCAATGTCATTCATGATGAGTCAGTGAATCGCAGAGGTGTCTGTGAATGTGACTCTCAGTGTGGACGTAGGGTTATTAAACGGTGCGTGCGCGCGTGTCCTCAGCACCGGATTCTCCGGGGGGAATACAAATACACCACAGTGGTCAGACGCCTGCCACACCCTTCTAGAGTAAACAAAGGCAGAGACATCCGAGCCACCAGCCCCAGGAAAAGATGAAGCAGCTGGGGGTCAGACAAACGAACCTGAAGCACGAAGCGTATCTGATGGCGAGCCCTAATATTGTAATTACAGTAAAACTGCCTCTTGCTTATTATCTCCAAAACCGCCCCCTCGCTTTTACGCACACACATGCGCAGGCCGCATTTTTACTCCACACACACACACACACACACACACACACACACACACACATGCGCACACACATTCCAAAATCTACCCCTTTGTCTTGGTCGCCTCACGGTGGTAGCCCCGAAACAGGAATTCAGCAAGGAAAGGAGGAGAGAAGTGTGTGTGTGTGTGTGTGTGTGTGTGTGTGTGTGTGTGTGTGTGTGTGTGGACCAGACTGTCTCCTCCCCCCACCATAAGCGCACACACCACACTCTCTCCTCCCCCTGTACACCCCCAGCGCCCCCTCCCTCCCTCCTCTCTCTCTCTCTCTCTCTCTCTCTCTCTCTCTCTCTCTCTCTCTCTCTCCACAGTCCTGCTCTGCCCCCATGCCTTTGTGTGTGTATGTGTGCGCTCCGTGAAGCTGACTGCGTACCCAAAAACCGTGTGACGGGTGCCTTGCATTAAAAAAAAAAACAAGCTTTTTCTTTTTGGGAATTGCAAATGTATCCGTGTTATATATTCTATTGGAGATAGGAAAACCTGCAGGTGCATGTAAAGAGGAGGAACCGGGTGGACGCACGTGAATCCCTCACTTATCCAAAGCCAGGAAACAGAAAGGACAGGAACGCAAGTGCCGCAAATTGGACTTTCCACCATCAGCAACCCTCCTCTCTCCTCTCTTCTCTCTCGCTCTCTCTCGCCATCCCTGCTCCTCCTCTGTAGGTCTCCCCACTTACTCCCATCCAACCTCATTCTCCCGGTCTCCTTCAGTGATCCCAGAATAGCCGCACACCGGACGCACTCTCTACCACAATAGTGGGGGGGTTTGGATTTCGGGGTGACTTGGGAGACGCCGGAGATGGATTAAAGGGACTGTGCATCGCAAAACTGGAGCAGCACGCACGACCACGCCGGGGGGGAAGGGGGCGACGGGACTCGGTGAATTCGCGAAGCCCCCGGGAGAGAGGTGAGTGTGCAGGCTGTCCGGTGGCATTGTGGCTCTCTACCCCGCATGCATCCCCAGCAACCTACCGCTCCTCAGCACATGGTTTTCACGTTTCCATAATTGATGATCTCATACGCAATCTGCTGATTTCTGCTTGTGGAGTAACAGCGATATTATAGATATAATAGCTGAATTATGTTCCTTTATTGCGGCTCATTTTGGTACAGTGGCTACTGATAGTCTGGACAATAACCAGCTAAGGTGATTGCCTTGAGAAAACAGCAATTAGGCTACATCAAATAACATGTTCAGAAAAACATGTTATTTGGAAAGATGCAGCCAATTTTTACACACGTTATTGAATTCATATCATTATTATATTAATAGCATCTTAAAATGATGGTTGAACTGTGTTCTTCATTTCTAAAGCAGGTGCTATAAGTTGCGTGAACCCTCCTCCACATCAAGTGGAGCATATGGCCCTTTATGTCTGTCTTGCTGTTAAGGGCCCTGCAGTGGACATGGCTCTGCAGCAGCACTGTAACTTTCTAGATGGATAGCTGAGTGAATGGAGAGAAAGATTAAATTGTACTGTTACACTTTACGTTCACATCATTCTTTCATTTTCAAGTTCATGTTTGTGAGCCATGGGTCATAAAAGAGCAGTGACTTTACTGTGTGGATTCTTATTTTAATGCTTAGTCAATGGCCCACTGGAAGACACCATGGAGTAGTCAGTACTAAACTATACTGTATGGTAATATTGTAAATAATATGCAGACCTATGTGGAATCAACAAAAACATTTTCTTGAGGCAAATATTTTGATGCTTTATTTTAATTTTTTTTTTTTTTTAAATAGTAATGTTTTGTAAATAGGACTGTTCTGAAGAACATGTTAACTAGAAGGACACCATCACACAACACACTTTGGTGAACAGTTAAGCCAAAAAAAAGGCTGTCCCTTTCCATCACAAGACATAATAAGCATAATGAATGTATGTGACTGCAGCAGCTAACAATTATTTTCAATATTGATTCATCTGTCAATGATTTCCTCAGTTAATCAATTCAGTTAGTCTTCAGATATCTTATTTTGTCTAACCAACAATCCTAAAACCCAAAGATATCAAGTTTGCTATCAGAAAAACAACCTACCTAAAATGAGGTAATGCTAGGCAATTTTGCTTGAAAATGACTTCAGTAATTACCAAAATAGCTGCCAATTACTTTCTTCGACTAATCGACTAATTGATTTATTGATACATTTGATACAATTGATACATTTCAGCTCTATGCCATGCAGTGCTATAATGCTCATGTGTATGGTATCCCCCTAAAATGTTATATATATTTATATATATATACCTGTTCACCATTCACATCAATTACTACAGCTTTGCGAATTCAGTTCAGTTTGCCATGGACATGGAAATATAATTTGTGCACCCGCCCCATGATTCAGATCCACTCCAAAATGTAATGGGTTCTTTCTTGGCCAACGCTACAACTTTCCAACTTTAATGAAAATCGGGCCTGTAGTCTTTCCGTAACCCTGCTGACAAACAAACAGCACTGAAAACACACCCTCTTTAGTGGAAGTAATGGGTGGAGAAACCTAACCAAAGTAGATGCTTTCCAGCAGGGCATGAGGGGTCACTGGGTGGTTTGATGAGTATGAACATGATGTGAATCATATGTATATAACACAGTTGAACACCTACAGAAGATTCTTGTAAGACAGCTTTCTCTAGCAGCATGAAAACACCATATTGCAACATATTACTGTATCTATCACATCTATAGTCAGCCTGACATACAAAAAGCTCATTGCACTACTCTACTGTGCAATACCATACTCTAATACTAGTCTAGTCTTTCTCTTACCACCCCCACCCCCTCGCCACTGTCGCGTTGGTGGTCACTGAGTCTTGTATCTTCCTCGCCGTCTGACACACTGTTTCTGTCCACCGCAGGCTATATAACCCACCTCACTCTGACACATACACACAGAGGAGATGTGCACAAATTGCATAGACTGTACACACACATGCAAAGTGCCATGTGGGGCAAGCGCCGACTCATGCATGACGTGCCCGGAAATGTGGTGTGGTCCCTGGTTGTGTGTGTGTGTGTGTGTGTGTGTGTGTGTGTGTGTGTGTGTGTGTGTGTGTGTGTGTGTGTGTCATGTGAGTTGGGGTGAGGTTTAAGTGCTGACTGGAGTAGGTCACTGAGACCAAGCGGCTGGGAGAGTGAGACCCCGGAACCCAGAGTCTTCCTAAGCTGCTTTCAGCTACACTGGAATCCATCCATCCCAATATCCTCCATGTCTCTGATCCTCACCCGCCACCAACCCCCCTCTCGCCCCACCAACACTAGACATACACATCTACCAGACATACACAAACTCGAGCTACACTCTTCTGCTTTTCGTTTTTTTTTTTATCATTTGTCTTCTTTATGTCTTTGATCTCCGCTTATCTTGTCCCCGGTTCTCTCCTATTCTCCTCTCCTCTCCTCATCCCTCCTTTCGTCTCCTCTTCATTTCTAGCGGTCATGGAAATTAGACTGTAGCAGTCTTTGATTCCCTGTGCCTTACACCGCCTCAGGGTCAGGCCCTCTTATCTAGTAGAGAAAGAGAGAAACAGACAGAAACAGAAAAAGGAGATAAAAAGAAGGGGAAGAGGGAGGGAGAGAGAGGTGTTAGGACGGAAGGACAGATAGCAAGAGAAGGGAAGGTGTAGAAAGGTAGGAAGAGCAGAGACGGGGATTTGTAGAAAGCCATTCTGAAAAAAGACAAAATGGGAAAGAGAAAGAAAGACAGAGAAAGGGCAGGAGAGAGAACTAAGCAAAGTCAAAAACCAAGCAAAGCGACAATAAAATGGAGAGTAAGAGGTACCAGGAGGCAGATGATGACAAGAGGCAGAAATAGGTAGAGCTGCCTAGACAGCTTTTAGCCACTTTGATTTTCCTCAAGAATAGTATATTTGGATTGAAGCATTAGATCAGCTGATTTTGTGCTCATATTCAGTCTGCCTTAAATTTGACTATTTGTGTCACAAAAAGAGGAAATAACAATTGAAATTCACTTCAGTTGGGTCAGCAGGTCTGTGAAACAATGCACACAGTGACACAACAAAGCCTGATCATCACCATCGTGGCTTTTTTTTTTTTTTTTTGGATAGAATGCAATTTATATTAAAAAGTAATTATTGACCAAACAAAAGCAAACCAAGATATCAGAATAACCATTCTGGTAGAAAAGGAGTTAAACACAGGGAACTAGGGATAATAAGGAGAGATAAAAAGAGAGGGTTTTAAAAATGAAGGCAGTAGGAAGGGGAGGGGATAGATGGAAGGAGATGGAGAAAATGATAAGTAAAATGGGACACGGAGAGGTGGGAGAGGTAAAGGGGGCGAGATGGAGTGAGAGAGATTGAGGGAAATGGGTAGAGGACAGAGACGCAGAGATAGAAGGACAGGCAGAGAATATGAGAAATAGGGAGCTGTAGGGAGAGCTGTAAATATTTAACTGTGTTTAGTTTTCCATTTGGGCCCTTAGCTCTTATTTCTCTCTGAGGCCTCCTGATCGCCTACAGGTTACTGATGGCAGGAGATGTCTGCATGTGTGCATGTCTGAGTTTGTGAGGAAAATGAATTAAGTGTGCAAAAACCATTTGTAAGTGTACTCTAGGGGAGGATTCATTCAAGTAATTCAGAGATTCCTTTTAATTACGATTTTGTCTTTTTCTGTTTTGTAGATTTCTCCATGAATTTTCAACACAGAGCATCTTAATAATCTTGTGTGTGTGTGTGTGTGTGTGTGTGTGTGTGTGTGTGTGTGTGTGTGTGTGTGTGTGTGTGTGTGTTTGTGTGTGTGTGTTTCTGTCATGTATTTGCACACGTGTGAGAAAATCACTGAGCGTGGTTATTAAGTGTGCATGTGCACAGTAGTAGGCCTAGTTATTGAATGTGAATGGGTGTGAGAAAACTAATAATTCACCCCATTACCAAACACTATAACAAAATTGCTCAGAATACATTTTAATTGTCTGTTTACTAATCCAAGGCCTCATTCTTTCAAACTAATGCATTCAAATGTGTGCAGTATAAAACTTCTCAGCCTTAAACAGCCTTTGAAAACTTTTTGAACCTATGTTTCATTCATCAGATAAGTCTATGCCTGGCAGAAGTTTTAATATCTTTTTGATGCTTTCAGAAATATTGATGGTGGAAAAATCCATGAAAGCGCTCTGAAACTTCTGTCTGACATTTCTTCGCAATCTGTTATCCCAACAGGCTGTGACTGGTCCCACCCCAAGATGACATCCCCCAAAAACAAAGCCAAGAAAAAACCACCCAAAGACAGCATGACGCTGCTGCCGTGCTTTTATTTTGTAGAGGTATGTGGCGATAGATTTAATGTATTGATGAATCACCTTTTTTATATACTAGTGCTTGGTAAACGTGACTCACTACATATACTGAACTGATCGCTAACTGATTCACTCTTTCTGCTGTAAAGAGTCGCAATAGTAGTCAGTTTGTATGTTGATTGCACCTGGATGCATCTGACCTCTATTGAAAGCAGAGTTTGATGTTCTTCACAGGCAAATATTATGGTGTCATCACTTTCTTCTTTCCCCTTGTGTGTGTGAAGGTGTGTATTAGTTGAGATAGAACGTTGGCTGAATCACCTCTTTCCAAACAAATATTAAATGCTAGTCACTCTATTTTGTCCTTGTCCTTGTCCTTGTGCGTGTGGCGTCTGTGTGTGTGTGTGTGTGTGTGTGTGTGTGTGTGTGTGTGTGTGTGTACTAGCTACCCATCGTCCTATCCTCCTTGGTGTCCCTCTACTTCCTGGAGCTGACAGATGTGCTGTCCCCGGCAATGGTGGGCTTCCGTTGCCATGACCGCGACCTCTCCATGCCCTACGTGGAGACGGGCGATGAGCTCATCCCGTTGCTGATGCTGCTGAGTTTGGCCTTCGCTGGTCCTGCAGCGTCCGTACGTCCATCACACCACACACACACACACACACACACACACACACACACACACACACACACACACAAACACAAACACACATACACACACACAACGATTTTTGGTAGGGATAAAGGGGAGTTTTTTGCAAAATGAAGGGAAGTTTAAGGATACTTACACTTTTGGGACGGTTGTGCTATTATTCCCCGTTGCCCAGACTTTACCAAATTATCCCAAAGTAGATATGCACTTTTTTTCAACTAACTATTTCATCAAAGATGGATGGTTGATCTAATGGATTTTTATATGGTAACTGATGTATTCACAAATGTTCCTATAAACAATTAAATCAAACCAATTGTCCAGTTCAAATGCACACACACCATAGCCATAGTGAATAAAAACAAACAAAAGTATAAGCACATTTTAAACACAGTAGTTCCACTTTGTATGTTGTGGTTAGTTTTGTGTGTAATTGTAATGTAAAATCATCACTGGATTTCTCTTAAGAGGAGCTACTTCTTGAACCTATGAGCACAAATTGAGCTCTGGTAGGCTGGCCCACTGAGCTTAACTCTAACCAAAGGCATCCTTAGCTTGATCTGACTTTTCAATTTCAGTATTGTATCATTTTACCAGAAATTATTCCACTTAAAATATAACATTAGTGAATATTCTATAGGTTTAGCAAACATTAATTTTTGGGCCATTTGGAAATAGAACAGCTCCACAATAAACTGATACAGTTGGTTTATCAGATAATAATATTTTGATCCATTGTTCATATAAAATATGACTAGTGATGCTTTACAAGAACAAAATCTTCCCGTGTTGGAGTCACAAAGATAAAATTTTATCTCAGAGGATGACTGTGTCTTCGGCTCTGGGGGTTTTGTTTGTGAGTTCTTCACAGAGAGACGCTTGTGTACAGACAAATACATAAATCACACAGATATGCAAATGTACAGCTTCTTGCACACTCACAAAGCAAATTCAATCTCCCCTCTGAAATGCAGAATCAATGGACACATTGATAAATACACACCTGACATTCCAATACACACCATCAGACACACCACAGCCCTCCAATCAATACACAAACACTCTCACACGCAGGCACGCACGCTGCTAATCAATCAGCAGCATGGAAATGAGCAGACCTCTCCAACACTCATCTATCACACTGATTGGAAGTGATCACTATTCGATAACACCCTGCATCCACTCGCTCTCCGTAGCTCTCTTTCACCGTAGATCACGATCATAGAAATTGATATTGAACATTAATAGCACTTTTACTGTTTTTTTACTTTCTTTTGTTGTGCTTTTTAAAATATTTTACAGTGTATATAACAGAAAATATTCAAAAATTTGTTATTTTTGTGTGCTTCTTTCTCACCTTTTATCTACTTTTATATCTATAGATCATGATGGGGGAGGGCCTGATGTACTGTATGCAATCCAAACTGAAGACATGTCCCAAGTCAGAGAGCAGCATTAATGCTGGAGGCTGCAGCTTCAACTCCTTCCTACGCAGAACCGTGCGCTTCGTTGGTACGTCCAACCATCAATCCTTCTGGGGGGGTTTTGGAGGGAGTTTAAGGAATTATGGTCACATTCCAACATCTACAGTAAATTTTTATGGTTAGTGAATAGGGTTCAGGATTTTCTCAAGAATACATGGACAGGATACATGGCTGTTGCTGTGGACATAATGATAGTTGTGGTGGAGGTTGCCCCAGGAGCCTTCTTTTAGAAGGTCTCATTAATGTCATGGTTTGTCAAACAGCATTATTCATCCATGGATACATATTTTGAAAAAAAAAAAAAAAAAACAGATATTGTGCCAGAACTGGAGCCTAACATAGCTAATGGCTACTGAAAACACCTAAGAGAATGACGATAACTTAAGAAGATAAATGGAGATGCTACAGTATGTCTTCTGTTGGTACACCTGCTTAGTGTTAAACTGTTAGCAAAGCTGTCACTGTTACAGCAGTGGTATTGCAACTGGGGGCACAAATGCCAAATCTTACATAGTGTTGCTTTATTTAAACTGGTAACTGCATAATTGTGACACCATTTCTAAAGCCGTGTTGAGGATTAAATTCAATACATTTTTCAGTCTAGGCATACATTTTATACATTGCATGCTATGTGTGACTCAGGTTGTGGAAGATGAGCATTAGATATAATTTATATTTGGTCTTCCATTACCTACAGAATTAACACTGTTAAGAACTGCCTGCTGTCAGTAGTTAGAGAGACAAAATGCTGTTGTTTTTAAGATGGAAATTAGTTTTGGCTCAGACAAATTATTCCACTTACCGGCTGAGCCCCGAACCTGATTTAACTTTTTATAGCAGGGAAATAAGCTAATTACATGCATTAAATGAAGAGTGACTTAAACTGAAATAGGCGTGCTATAATGCTGCACGGGAAAATATCTTGAGGCAGACTTTGAGCTTTGAAGTGAAAAGAGTAATTAATTCACCTTGCCAAATTTGACTGTCTGCGGCAAAGCTTCGTAACGTAACAAACTGAAGGCCTGTGGTGTCACTTCAGGTTGTTGGAGCAAATTCAACAGTGTTTTCAACTGCAGGTGTTCACAAATGAACAGCTTGATGTGATGAATCCACCAGGGGCTTTTAGTTCATTTACCAAGGCTGCCTTACCATCTCTATCTCCGTCTCCTACCTATCTTTCCCTCAGGTGTTCATGTGTTTGGTCTCCTGGCAACAGCCCTGGTGACAGATGTCATCCAGTTAGCTACTGGTTACCACACCCCTTTCTTTCTCACCGTCTGCCAGCCCAATTATACCGCTCCGGGAGTGTCATGTGACAACCATGCCTACATCACAAGAGACATCTGCATGGGGAAAGACCAGTATGCCATCATGTCAGCAAGGTAATACATACATTTTGGAGCTGAAACATGTCCACACATGAACACGCAGAATGTCTTTATCTGCCTGAAATAAAATATCCCTGTGTGCAAAACAATATAAAACACATTAAGACACACAGTTATTGTGCATTCATTAAAATAAATGATCTATTTATTTGTGCAAGACCTTACTTCTCAGCTCTTAATCTCTGTTCTTGTGCCATTAAGTAAGACTTCAACAATGTCGCCGCACAGAGCCATTTACAAACATACCTTATAATGTATATATTCATGCAGCTGAGGCTTTGCTCATAAGAATGTGCTTTATCAGGAAATGCTGCAGCACACACTGAGTTACAGTGATAAAAGGATTTTGCACTGTAAGCTGTATATTGCTACACATCACTATCTTGCAGGAGTATATATGCAAACTACAAGGTGAGGAGTCATCAAAACTAATTAGCATTTGAAGAGGATTACAGGAGATTAAAGTAGCGAAGGAGTGAAATTGTTGTTACAGTTGGATTTTTAAAATAATGCAGTATTTGTTTATTAATGATATGCTGCTTAGTAGTTTATTTGTACAACAAGACTTACTGTGCTCTTAGAAATTCTCATTGGAATCTCAAGAGAGCTGCTACAGCTGTGGCCACATTTGGCTTCCGAATATACTCTTTAGCAGCACAGTGTGTAACAAACAGACATAGGTCAGACAAACAAGCTACAGCATATGGGTATTGGACATGCATAATAAGTGTATGCAGACAGAAAAGATTACAGCTAAATATTGCCCATATAGGGATAATCCAGGGGTACAAATGCACAAATGTTAGTACTGTACTTGTAAGGACCCATAGTAACATAATCCATTCCCTAGCACCTGGATTGATACCACTCTATATATGTTAAATATAAGGCTACAGCCAGCAGTCAGGTAGCTTAAACCAATATGTAAAAAAATATAATTAAGCTTTTAATGAGGGTTAGGGACTGGGCTAGTTCTTGGCTATGAGCAGTTCCTAGGAAACCACCTGAGACTCTTTAGAAGTTACTGTACCAGGACAACAAATAGTCTAGCCCGTAAAACCACATTGTGTTATTTTTTGACACTAAAGTTTTGGAACAGGTTTAAAACTTGAAATAAAGTGTACAAAGCCAGTGTAGCTGTTCCTTCCTAATCGGCTGTTGGCTGTATCCTTATATAGAATGGAGAGATATAAGAGTTCTATCAGTCTTCTCATCTAACTCTCAGCAAGAAGGCAAATAAGAGTATTTCCCAGATGTCGAACTATTGCTTTAACAATCACAACTAAATGCCTACCCCAACAGTTAGCATTAACTTAAAACAAATGTAATTCTGGTAATTGTTCTTCTGAAGTCTTGACCCTCAAATAGACCTTGGAAAAGGAAACACCAGACGAAACTTTAAAAAACAAAATTTCCCACTCTAAATGTCTAAAACTAAAATTGTTCTTAACAAAGACCGACATACCAAAGTACTTACCTAACCAACACACACACAGACAGACAGGTTTAGCCCCAAAGAAGTGGGAGTAGTTAAAAATGCAATAGTGCTAGACACAGGGATGAATACACTCACACAAAGAGCACCTTAATAAAGAAAATTCATAGATATTTGTGATTCAGCTTTCTAAACTCTGAATTTGCGACTTTGACCGCAACTCATTCACTATCCCTGAATGCTCCCCCTAATGCCCCATGGTATTCTGTTTGTGTGTATTAATGCTCACATCCAAGGACGCACGCTCAGTTTGACAAACACAGTGGGGCAGGTTTTACTGTCAAATACAGTCCAGAAATCACAAATAACATGAGCAGCCATGACAGCTTTATTCAGGTTTATTCAAGAGGCAGTAAACACACTCACAATCCACACAGCTTTTATTTTTTGAAACGTGAATTTCTTTCTGCGTTCACTCTTTCACACCTAATTCTACCCCTTTCTCCCCTCAGGAAAACATTTCCATCCCAGCATGCAACGCTCTCTGGCTTCGCTGCTGTCTATATCTCCGTAAGCACTCCTGTGTCTTACTCTGTGTTTGTGTACCATGATTATGATGCATTTGCATCATATACTTTATGCTTGCATGTGTTTGTTTAATAACTAGTTACCCCTGTTTTGTTTTACATTTTAGTAAAGTCCTTGGTGATTAATATTACAGTAGTGTTTTTGCACTACATTTATTTATGCGTAGGATTTGTCTTTCAGAAATGTTCATGGGTTTGTGCAGATGACAATAATTTCTTTATCTGTTCAATTATATGTCTGTTCATGATAACCATCCAGATGCTCTTCTGCTTAGTCTTAACAGACGTTGCTGCTGGCAGCATAAAATTCATTCCTGCATATCAGAGCATTTCTAGCTGGAATTAAATGACTGTCACTTCCAACATAAGTCACAATTGCATTATAGTTGGTACTCACTGAGAGACTTACAGATTTTAGACTACAGTAACCTCAGGCCAAAGAGCCATCCAAATTAAAACACATTAAAAGAATAACAGGAACTGTCTTTTAAGGTCAGATTTCAGTGTTCATTGTTACATCCCAGTGCATATTTGGTAGTTTTTTTTTCCATTCTGCTGTCCGGTGCTGACTGCAGCAGTATGTGAACTGTACAGCTAAGTAGCATTGTCATTTTTCCTTGAGGTAACACCCTCCAATACACACACACACACACACACACACACACACACACACACACACACACACACACACACACACACCACCTTCCACCAATGGCTATTGCAAGCTACTGGCCATATTACTGCTGCCTCACTGAGCCCAGAGTGTGCTCATTAAAGCTCACCAGACAGATTTCTTATGAGAGAAAATGCAGGAGAGGAGGAGGAGGAAAGCAGCTGTTTTGGTTGCTGGTTGATTGTTAGAGTTACAACATGTTGCCTAATATTTGAAAAGTAGAGAAGCAGCACAAAAAAACTGATGTCAGATCATTTTTCTTCAGTATTGTTCTTCACTGCCAACCACATTAGGACATGTATTCAAACAACCTTTGTGGGAAATTACAATGAAGTGAAGTAATTCCACCTTCACAACACATATTTAGATTTTTCCCCGTTCTCTTGCTTAGAAGAGTGAGATTTATATGCACAATACTAGATGGACAAGCTTAAAATGGATACTTTTGCAAAGCCTGCTTTTCTGTCACTCAGCTGTCCTCCTCTTTATGTAATAGAAATATTGTGTGCATGCAGAGAATTTTAATGTAGCTGTAAATATGTTCTCTCTCTCTCTCTCTCTCTCTCTCTCTCTCTCTCTCTCTCTCTCTCTCTCTCTCTCTCTGCCTGCTTTCTTCCTCACTCTATTTTACCATCAAAGAACAATCATCCGAATTTTCATGGAACGAACAAAACAATAGGAGACAGTTCATTTAACTTTAAAGAGAATTCTTCAAATCAGTGGAGTTGTCTTTAAAGGAATAAAATAACATTTGCGGAAATATGATTATTCGTGGCCGGTGAATTTCCCAACATGTCAAATTATTCCTTTAATATCAAAGTTTAAGATCCACAGGATGTATTTCCTTCATTTCTCTACACTGTAAATCTTTCTACAGTTGAGGTCAAACTTTTGTTGCAGCATGCTATTATGCCCTAATGACATCTCCATCCCAGTCAACATATGTCTGGCTGTGTGTCTTTATGCATATTTATGCGTGTGTCTCTCTCTCTCTCTCTCTCTTTCTCTCCACAGATGTATTTCAATGCCAGTATCAGCAGCACGACCAAGCTGCTTAAGCCGTTGCTGGTGTTTGCTTTCTGCATGGCGGCAGGCCTCGCTGGGCTGACGCAGATAACTCAGCACCGCAGTCACCCAATAGATGTCTACGTGGGGTACCTCATAGGAGCCGGCATCGGAGTGTACCTGGTTAGTTGAACAAAGTGCACAAAACTGTGTATAACAAGCATGGTGAAATATTTATCAGACGTGTCAAAGTGCAAACTAAAATCTGTTGGCAAAATATATTAGAGGACTTAATTTATGTGGCTGGCTTTCAAGATAATTGCTCCTTTTATGATGAAAGACACGCTGAAAGACATTTGAGCAAGTGAAATTGTCCTGATATGGATTTCCTATTTCAGAATTTGGTTTCTGTAATGAGTGCCAGCATATGTTTGTATATATTTAGGGATTTGTTTTGTCCCCAGGGAGTAGTTAACAGTCAGCATGCAGCATGGTGGGAATGACCGAATACACATAAATCTCTCTATATATATATATATTTCTTTTTAATAAGTGGTTTAGTTGTTTTGCTCTGAGAGAATTGTTCCATTGTATTATTCTAACACTATCACAGCATGTGCTAACAAATGCTTCTTTTTTTCATCACCTCCCCTCTCCGTGTGGCTTCCATACTTTTCTCTCCCAGCAGTTTTTTTTTTTTTGTTGGCAGGCTCTATATATAGCTTTTTCTATTACGGAGGAAAGGGAGAGAGAGAGAGAGAGAATGAATAATCCGATAAGAATTTTCTGGAACAATTTCACACTTCATTTTAAGAAAACTTGTCGTTGCCATTTTGCACGCTTCCCTCCTCCTCTCACTCTCTTTCTTTCTCGTCTTTAGTTTTTAAGAGGGGGAGCATTTGTCCCTCTCATTAAAGGATGAATTCTGAGAGAGGGGAGAGAGGGATTCATGCTGACATCACTAAACAGGAGGAAGAAAGAAAGATGCTTATTCATGCACTTGCTCCCCGCTAATAGGAATATAAATTTTTTTCCTTCCTCAAGATTAAAGAAAATACATTTTCACGCTTCAGTCTTTATTTAACATGCCGGGTGCTTCTGTCTCCTCATTTATTTCTCCTCCCCACCTCCCTCCTTGTATTCCTCTGTCCTGTCAGGCTGTGTACGCAGTGGGAAACTTCAAAGCATCAGAAGAAGACGCTCACTCTTTACAAAGACTGACCCCAGCTCAGCAGAAGGACGGCCTGAGGGTGCTGAGTCAGCGGAGTCATGACTCCCTGTACAGGAAGACTCCCAGGGTGTCTGAGAGCAGAGAGGAGCTGGGGGTGGGGCTGGGGTCTGGGGCCCGCAGTAAGGTGAGAAGGGAGAAGGCCTCCCTGGCCTCCCTCAAACGAGCAAGTGCTGATGTGGAGCTCCTGGCAACCCGTGGTCCCATGGGCAAGGAAACCATGGTAACCTTCAGCAACACCTTGCCCCGTGTCGCAAACGGCAACAGCCCCATTTCACCCTCAGATGAGCCGCCTACCACGCAGCGTCACATGACCTTCCATGTGCCCTTCGACCCTCAGAGGTCTCGACAGCTGGTGTCAGAGTGGAAGCAGCGCTCGCTGGAGCTCCGCAGCCAGAGCTCACGAGATGAAGAGGAGGGAATGGATGGTGGAGATGGAGGAAATGAAGCAGGAGAAGGAGGAGGAGACCAGGAGATGCCTTCCTCTCTTTATCCCACAGTGCAGGCCAACAAGGGCATTGCCACACCTACCGGAGCCAGGATGGTGGTGGCACCGCCACTCGTTCACATCCCTGAGGAGGCCTCTCGGCCGCCGCCTGTCTCCCCCAAGAGTGCCAAGACCCGCGCCAAGTGGCTCTCACTAACCGAGGGAGGAGGGGTGAAAGAGCCTGGAACAGGACCCATTGCGGTGTCCACTCCCCGTGTGCCCAACACGCAGCCCAACCAGCCACCCAGTCAGCAAAGAGTCACTCAGGTGAGGAAGGAATTAGAAAATAATGCCCGCAAATCATACTAATTGCATTATTTTGATCAGTAATTTTTCATTCCTTCATTTCCAGTGGCATGCAGCCAATTCTGATAAATATATCTCAGACAGGAGATGTATTAGCTGCCAAACACTGTGTACGCTACACACCTATGATTTATTTTGTTGGTAAAATGAAAACAGAATAACATGGGTGAAGGCACTTTGACTGATTAGTTTCCAAAATAAAAAATGTGTTCAAACTGTAATTACAGTCAGAGTTTAATCTTATTAAAATGTCTGTGAGATATAATGACTATGTTACTATTACCCTTTACAAAATTGCTTTGTACCACAATAAACCCAGAATTCTGTTTATCATAGTAAACACTGTAAATACATATTACTGATTGTTGTACTGATTCTTGAAATGTTATATATGTAAATGTTGTTAATGTTAAATATTTGAGATTAAAAATTTAAAAATGAAATTACCTTGGAAACAGCAGTTAACAAAGCAATATTATCAACAAGGTTTAGTAGCTGATCTTGAGCAACAACTTGAGCTCTCCTCTGAGCTTCTTTCCTTTGTACATTCTGACAAGACTTTCTTCTGTCCTCCAGGTGATTGCCATGTCTAAGCAACAGGGTCATGGACCCCTCACTTCCTCAACTACTAAGACATCAGAAGGTGGCTCCTCCTCCGGCGGTGGGTCCAACTGCTCCGAGTCGCCCTATTACCGGATCCCATCTGATCGAGACAGCTGCACTGGGAGCAACCCAGGGAGCATCGCCGGAAGTGGGAGCATCGTCACAATCGACGCCCATGCCCCTCACCACCCGGTGGTGCGTGTGTCAGCCAATAACGGCAAACCGTGGGAGTGGAGAAACACCATCAGTGGTAACATGATGACTGCCGACATGGCAGGGGAAAAACACCGTGTAGCGCTACAGCGACAGGACAATGTCAGTCACTACCGGGATTACCGGACACTCCCAGTGAAAACAGACTCGCTCTGCTCCTCCGGCGGCAGCATAGAAGGAGGAGCGGATCTGCCTCCCCCACCTCTGCCGACCTCCTCCTCCCCCCTGCCTCCCCCTCCTCAGCTGTTGTCATCCCCTCTACCGCCACCGCCTACTCACTCTTCTTCTTCCCCCTTGCCTCCCCCTCCACACTCGAGCTCCTCTCCAATGCCTCCTCCTTTCCCTCACCCTGCCTCCTCTCACATGCCTCCACCTCCTCACCTGTCCTCTCAGATGCCCCCACCACCCCTCCCATCTTCCTCTCAAATGCCTCCACCTCCTCACCCATCCTCCTGTCAAATGCCCCCACCTCCTCACCCATCCTCCTGCCAAATGCCCCCACCTCCACATCCATCCTCTTCCCCTTTGCCACCTCCACCTCACCCCTCATCCTCCATGCCTCCACCTCCTCACCCGTCCTGCTCCAGCATGCTCCCCCCTCCTCCCCATCCCGACTTACTGATGGACGGCCACAGCCAGGCACTGTCCCGCTCCTCCACCCTGCCTCGTCGGCCCTCTGTCTCCGCCCGCAGCCACGCTGAGCAGGAGCACTACTACAAGGCCATGCAGAATGAGAGGATGTTATAGTAAATGGGAAAAACAACGGACATCATTGTCATATCAATGGTTGTACTTCAGAAGACTCAGCTGAAAGAGACAGTGAAACGAAATAGGTTGTGGCAGGTGAATAAAGATTTATGAAAAATGACAAAAAGGTTTAGAGACTCCAGAAAAGCAGCTTCAGTTAAAATGCTGGAAACGAAGAGGCGTTAGGGGTGGAGGACCATTGGGAGGTCTGGCAGCTCACACACACTCAGCAGGGGAGCTGTTTTTTCCCTGCTCGCATGTACTGCCCACAGCGCCAGCTCAACAGCCCTGACTGGGAAAAGAACAGACAAGGGAAGAAAGGGGAGTCAAACAGAGAAGGGTAAAGAATTAAAAAAAACACAGTTCAGCTCTAGTTTCGGCACGCACATCCTCCGTGTTTCTTTATGACACATTCAAAGAAGGAATGGAAGAGGCTGCAGCTGAAAGAGATATCACACTGAACGGTCTGGGATTTGCTAAATCAAGTTTCCCCTGAGAGGTGGGATAAGACTGAGCAAACAAAACAACTACAGGCAATACTAGCTCTCCTTAAACTAGTGCAGCTGTTTGAGGTTGCCAACCGCTACACACAGAGAATTTGCCGTTCATGCTTCAAAGCCCAAAAGCTGTGAATAAAGAGGAGTATACAGTAATGTTAACTTCAACCACAGGTTCAATAGTATTAGCCACAGCCCACAAAAGAGAGACGAAAGAGTCTTTTTTGCCCCTCTGAATAAACAAACCAAATGGGGAAATTTATGTTTGAGGCCAAGCAAATCTGTCAGTATCCACCAGAGAGAGCCGGCTTAGGGAGCGTTGCTTCTGGATGGGGTGTGAGAATGGAGGAGGAGGGGTGGGTATAAGGAGGATCACGCACAGTTGGGCACCCCTATACAGACGTCACTGAATGGATTACTGTTGTAAACATGAGAGGCGGTGGAATGGAAAGAGAATTGTTCCTAAAGTGAAGAGGGTGGCTGGGCCGCACAGCACAGCACAGCAAGCCAGGCAACCAGTCTGTCTTTGCTGTGTGAAAAACCTGCCACAGAGCCTGAAGCAGCACTAAGGAGATTAAGGTTTGTTTATCAAACCATGCTAGCACACTCTTCCCTCCGTAGCCATTCACATTTAGCCCTCTGGAAAATCACAATGGTGACGGGAATGTTAATGCAAAGCCGCCCAGCCAGTGGTGCAGCCGGCCATCACCAGCAACATCCACATTGGCTCAAGCAGGTGCTGGTTGGATGCGACTAACTGGCTTGTGTTTCGAGCAGTCTCTGTTTACACCTGTTAGCATTTCAAAGGTTTTGCTACCACTTTCTAACTTTGCATACTTTATAAGGGGTTGCTTTATTAATTATCATTTATGTATGCTTTAAAGAACAGTAATTCTTAAGAGCAACTTTTGGGTTGTCAGGTTGTTCATTTGTGTACAATTGTCTTTTTATCTAGCTATTTTATATTTTCAGGAAGCAGGAAGACTAAATATTATTTTAAATATTTATAACTCCAGAGATACAATCCTTTATTCATGCATCATCTATATGCAGGGTCACAAGCTACCCTTATTTAAGTACGTTTTAGAAAGTGATACCAAGATTTTTGTTCTTTGTTGATATTATAATAAACTCATATGTTGACAATGTTGACAAAACCATCTCAACACAAGGTCCATTGCTCACTTGCTTTAGAGCAGATTGGGAAGTTGGCCTCCCAGGAATGCCCCAACACAGTTTTAGGGGAGGCTCAGTGAATGGAGGTGAAAAAATAATATATAAGGTATCAGTAGGAGATCACATAGAATTGCCTAAATGTGTGTGATAAAGAGTCAGAAACTAATAAATGCCTTAGGACAGACTGTTTATATATTTTGTGTCTTGTAAAGTTAAACAGCAGTATTAGGTTATCTTAGCACAACTGCTGAGTGTCCATAAGATCATATAACATAATCATGATCCCATAGGCATCCAGGAATTGAGCGAAACAAAGCAAGTGAACTAAGGGGGGTGGGGTTGGAGGGTGCCTTTTCACAAGCTTTGTCCGAGAGGAGGCCCCCAGTCTCAGGCTTTAAGAAACCCCTGCTCTAGAGCTTTTGATCCACATCACACAGTCTTCATTTAGTGTTGTTCGCTTGGTTTCTGTGGAACTGTGAGTGTTCAAACTATGAGCAAACTACATCTGCTGAGGAGGATCATGTACCAAGGTCAAAAAGGGAGTACGTATACCTCCAGTTGAGATTGTTTTGTCAACTACTGTTTCAAAGGTCAAGAATGAGCTGCCCACCGAAAGGTTTACATTCAGTTTTTGACATTGATTGTCTAAACCATTAATGATTAATTGTAGGAATAACCTAATTATTAATTCATAATGAAAATAATCATTAGTTGGAACCCTTAGGACATACACTTGGATTTGACATCTACAAGTTGAGAGGAAGTGCGTGTTCTTCCTGCTCACCCCTGCCTCCTGTGTGTATTAGTACTATATTGTATAAAGTCATTATCTGGTACCTACCATTTCATACAAGTTTTTTCTATCAGCAGATTTCCCGTACATTGACAAGTGCTTTATTTCAGCTCGTTCTTTGATCAAATCATGAAAGATACAGACTCACAAACATAGATGAAAAAAATGGTTTTCACCCATGCACCACAGCATCTGAAGGGTACGTGAACTGATTTTGTAAAGTTGTGCTAGGACGGGGCGAGTTAAATGGAACAAGTTGTATTTTGTAGTGGAGCTCCTCAAATGTGAGGGGCTGGTAGATAATGTTGCTCGTCGGTTTGTGCTGCATGTGTGTGTACGAGCGTGTTTTTTTAAAACTTTACTTCTGTGCTTCAAGTCTGTGACGTTACCTTTGACCGACAGACAAGCTGCATTTTTCAGTGCTGGTGAGTATCGTACTACATCTCCCCCCTGCCCCATTTTGACTGTAAAAATACTTGATATTACCTAATATTATTAATACTATTATTATTCCGCAGTCCTCTTTTTTGGGCTAATGTTTTCTATCTGTGGTGATGTGTAACATTAATAACCTGATTGAATAAAAAAATGAAGACTTATTAACCAAGGTTTCATCTTGTGTTACTTGACGGCAAAGTGGAAGGTGTTCGGCTCAAAATAGAGAGAGGGTCAATGCCAGAGCAGCTTTTACCGCCACTCTAATGAAACAGATCTTCCCCATTGATTCTTGGGTTATGAGTACTTTCATGCTCCGTCATACTGTACACTGGCACACACACACACACACACACACACACACACACACACAGCCAGACAGATACATGCACATTTGCAATGCAACATTTGCTTGTTTCCTTTGGGCTAGTGTCAGGTTTCCATAATGAATTCTGCTAGAATGTTGGTCAATCCCAGATGACCCGCGGGGATGCGGCAAGCATTGGCTGAGGCCTGTGTATGTGTGTCTGTGTGTGTATGTGTGTGTAAACAATTGTGGGAAATATATATTTAAATTAGAGCCTGTGTTTTCTGGTAAATAAAAATGTGCCCCTTACTTTATTCCCATCTAAATTATAGCACGATTCATTAAGGTGGATGATTATGCAGATAAGAATCAGGCTTTGTGTGTGTGTGTGTGTGTGTGTGTGTGTGTGTGTGTGTGTGTGTGTGTGTGTTTGTGCATTTGTGTATGTGTATAAATGCAGTACATTGTCCAGGTGCAGTGAGGTTATGTGTCCATTCAGATATGTGTCAGTTTGTGCATTTTTCTATCTGTATGCATTTTCGGCATGTATGTATATGTGTGTGTCCAGTGCTTTGGAGCATTGAGCTGTGTGATGAGGCCGTACAGGCAGTGGGGGTGCAGATGGTGTACTGAGGCCTGAGGACAGTCAGCCTGTCCATGACTCACACTCAGCAAGCCAGCAGCTCTCCCTCTCCCCTTGGTGGCCCAGAAAACACAACACAACAAGTGTGTACGTGTGTGTGTGTGTGTGTGTGTGTATGTTTGTGTATGCGACTGTGGGAAGCAACAGAAAATGCGGACAGAGCTGTCCGTATGCATGTGCCTATTTTTGTGCCTGTGTATATACTTATATCTTTGTGAGCGTGCATGTGTGTGACAGTGAGAGCTGTCCAGGAGAAGATGCTGACATTCTTTTCAGGACTGATTTACCACTGCAGAACAGCACAAAAGCCTTTTGTCCGCAGCTCCACTTTTATCCTACTCACTTTGTCACTATCATTCTACCTACTGCAATCTCAACCGGCTCCTCGTGAACCTTTACACAAGGAGGAAAGGGATTTGGAGCTTTGGAGCTTATATCCTGATTTTCCTCCAGCTCTCAGTTACTTGAATGAGGGATGAGGATTCTAAGGGGTCACTAAGGGATCATTTTACTTTGAGTCCGATCCATATTGGGTGTAATTTTTCTTTAAAAAATCAAATATTGATCCATTTTTAGCATGAAAAGATTGCCCTATGCAAATAATGCCTTCTGGTTAGAATCTAAAGGGACTGACCATATGTACAATGGATTCCAGCACTGTCCTTTATCTTTTATGTTCTTTATCAGGGTTCATTGCTGAAATGGTTGAAGAACCCCAGTTTAACAGCCGTCTTGAAGGGTTTCACCAATTATGAAAAGGAAAGGAAAGTGATGGTTTCATATTCCCATGGCCTTACAGTTGTTAAAATGTTCAGCCTTGCACCCAGAGTACATTACATTTAGTCTCAGTTGGGCTTATTAAACCATGTTATAAATCCTGTCATTTGTAGGCCCACCAGACACAGACCTTGTAGTGAGCTCTTTGGGATCCCAAATGATAACCAGCCTTAATGTGCCAGTCAGCCGTCTACCACCACAGCTAGGGGCTAAGACTGACATTTCTAGGAGGCTGGCTTCACTGAGTCAGTACATGTATTACAAAGCTTGTTTCTACCTAGGGGTCCAAGACCAAGTTCTTTTTTTTTATATCTATCTATTTCATCAGTTGTGGCCAAACAGAAGACAACAATAAAATCATGACTGGCTACTTGCCAAAGTAACTGGTAATGTAACACAACATCTACAACCATATCATTTGCAAACACTTTGCTGGTCGTGAGAATCATTTCCCTCCATGGATATAGATGTGGAGTTGAGGATATATGCTAGCTCGCTCAGTCTTTAACCCGCAGGCTACAAAAAGTGATAAATGCAAACCCATTCTCGTTCCCAGACTGCCAGTTATACTGTTTCAGTCCAGCTGGGAGCCTGATATTTTTATATGGCTGTCCTCACCTCTCTAGGCATCTGCTGCTTTACAGGAGCTTGGTTTTCAAACACACTGATTATTTTTAGATATTCCTGACATGGTCCATTTTTTATTTTCTCACCTGAACTGAGGGTCTACACTGCAAGTATTAACAAACAAGACTAAGAGTTTTCAGCCATGGTAGCTGCTCTGTGAGCCTGTGCTTACAACCTGCACATTATTGCTTTGAGCTACATGCCAACATCAGCATCCTAACATGCTATTGTATGGTATATAATATTTACCATGTTCACCCTCTTTGTTCAGCATTAGAGCATGCTAACATTGGCTAATTAGCACAAAGTACAATCCATCCAATAATTGCTAAGACATTTCATTCAAATCCACAAATGCCTCCCGAGTGGTGGCACTAGAGGAAAGGTTAGAGGATAATTGATGTAAGTATGATTCATCCTCTGGAGACCATGGCTGTCTGTACAACATTTCATGACAATCCTTTGAATAGATATTCAATATGTCTGTCTGGGCCATTGTGGTGGACCGACCAATAAGACCAACATTGACAACACAAGAGCCACGCCGCCTGCAAGACTGAAAATTCATGAAACTCATCCATGGCAGAGTAAACAAAATAAAATACATGGCTAGCTGTCAGTAAATAAGACAGTTTCTAAAAATTCCTCAAAAGTTGACTTTGCAAAGATGCAAAGCTTTCATGTGACAGCCTAAAGAAACACTCTACTAAGCAGAGAAAGCATGCAAGTCTTTTTGGTCCCCCTCTCTCTGCTTCTCCAATTATACTTGATGCGTCTGCTCGGCTGTCTCCTCATTCTATCCTCTGAGAATTGAGGCGATAAAGATTGAAAGATGGAACGTACTCCTGTACCCCTTTAACCCACATGCATGGGCGCTCACAGAAACACATAAACACACTTATACATTCCCATGAACACACAGAGCAACGCACTCCCTAAAGCCCACATCCAGAGATTTATGCGTTAAGACAAACATCCTTCTGCAGATGGACACGCAATCACATTATAACTCACATACACAAATACACGCCCACACCTACTTTTGCCCCTTGTACTGTCTGTCTACATGTAGAGGCAGAAGAGGGGGAACAGTGCAGCGTATTTGAGCATGAGTGGGTTGATGTGGTTGTGGCCTTATATGCATGAGTAAGACTTTACAGTACATGGCTTCAATACCCTACAGGCGGTGGGGTAGTAACACACTGACACAGTTATCAGACCAGACTAATTGGGTCTGGGACGATGTGTGTGTACATGTGTGTAGGAAGACCTCGGTAGATGCATGTCTTGATGTATGTGGGACCCTTTCATGCATTTGTATGGAACCCTATACACAATGCTTCTCCTTCACTGCCCTCTTACTTCTTAACCTTCTCAAATGTCGATGTAAGTGCATGTATGTATACGTCCATCTGTTTGTGTGTGTTATATGCATCTGTAATGACTGCATATATCACATGAACAACGTCCCTCTGCACACTGTCTTACCTTACTCCTGTATGTCTTCTCAAATTCATAAATATCTCTCCTGCAGGGAACAACTGTCAGATGTGTCAGGGTTTTCTGTGGAAACTCTTGGCAGAGGATCACGCACTCTTGCAACCGTCTGACCCAGTTTCAGTCCTCACATCACCACAGTTAAGATACTGAGGGTTATTATGCATTATACACAAAAACACAAACATTTGCCAATTTTGCATCATTGCACATTACCACACAGTCGCCATGCCACAAATAAATATTAGACTTTATCAAATGCAAGGACACACATGCATACTGTAGCTTGAATAAGTGTTTTACTAGTGCAAATAATCCAGTATGAAATTAAAAAAAGACAGTCCCATCGTTAATCCAGTCTAAATCAGTCGGTCTGGGATCATCAATTTAATGAGTAAATTAGGGCGCTGCGGCACTACACTCGTCTGTACTCATGCCTGTGATCCGTCCTATTTCATATCAGCTACAAGCAGGGGAGTGAAGACAAAGACTGCATCTAAATGTAGCTGACTGGGTTTAAGTGTCTGTTTCTGTGTATTTTCTAACCTGGTAGTCATCCTACATTTTGTCACTGTGTCATACATGGTGAGGGATGATCAGAGGTTCAAGATCTGCATAGGAATATTCATGGGGCAGTGAAGCATAGCAATAGTGCATTTTGGAATAAAAGCAACACATTTGGCACAGATGTAGGTTTATATGTAATAAAGAATATATGGCTATCAGGTGGTCATTAGAAATCTTTCAAAATAGCTGCCAAAAAGGTGAAAAATGTTCCTGAATGTTGCAGGAAAATTATTTAATTATTTATTTTGATGACTGCCAAGGTGTGTTCAGGCGGATTAGTTCAGATGTCAGAATAGTTATGTCATATTTTTCGTGTCATTTTATGTTTTTTCTTTTTTTAATTGATTGGTTAGTTAGAAATTCGTCATCATTTGCTCCCATGATCCTGTGAGTGGATTGCAGTTTGTTATGCTTTTTTTCCGCCTTTCATTTCACTCCCACTGCTAGCGCAACAGGTTTCTTCATCACACTTTTAGCACCCTAACAGAGGCATCAAAAGCCTGCTATGAGCTAGTAGCATGCAAGTGCATCAAGGGTTGCATTAAGCACTGCAAGTGCTAAGTGGCATCACTTGCTTGCTAGAGTGTGTCACTTTAGTTAGTAGTTACTGGTTTTTTAATTGCTTTACTTTTGGTCAAGCATTGCCCCCAACAACCCGCCTCCTCAGTTCCTGTATCATGCTGTAACCAGGCCACCATTTTCTGAAATGATACAACTATATATAAACATATGTTTAAAAATTAAAACGTA